TTCGCCTGCCTGGTTGGGTGCCCTTCCCCCCACACACACACGTTCGGCACGGAAAAGCGGTTGGCGTTCAAACGGTGCGTTCCCGCCTCGCGAGCCGAACCCTTCCCACCGCCTCCTCGCGGCCGCGAGTGAGCGCGCGCGCGCGCTTGCTTCCCGTTCTCTCCCTCTTTCTCCTCAACCTTGGTAGAGCGGGTCTCATGGCGCCGGGGCCTCATGGCTCAGCGTCTCGGTAAAGCGGCCATCAAGCTTCTCGCGGCCGGCAGTTTCCCGCCTCGGAGCGAGTGGGCCTACCAGCCGCTGGCTCCGCCCCTCGGGTTGGACTGAAGAGCGTTGGGGGGGCGGAGTCTCTGTTCGCGGCGGCTTTTTCGCCAGCGCTTCCCTCAAGGGCCCCGCCCCCGAGGTTTTGGGGGTCCGTTACTCCCTCCCCCCCCACTTGACAGTACTTTTGCTCAGGTAAACAAAGGGGGGGGGAAGGGGATGAAGACTGAGCCCTGAGCTTAGAGCGCAAGTTTCCCTTGTTATCCGCGTTTTGTTTGAGTAGAAGTACTGAACCTAAATGTATCAGGCAGAAACCATGGGAACAAGACAAGACCAAACCATGTTCCACCTTAAAAGCCAACTATTATATTTTAATGTAAGCTTTCGTCTGGACAGGTCCACTTTGTCAGCCATAGTTTGTGTTTTAAGGATAGACACAGGTTCAGCTGTGTTGAATTACAGGTGTGTGTGTCCATCCTTGGAAGAACTATATAAATGCGCCTGCATTTGCGTGCAAGGAAATGCATAAATCTTCAAATGTCACTTTCGTTCATTTAGAAGATATAAGGTGGTCTGAGGGAGGGGGGGTAAGTTGGCACCACCTTTTCCTGTAGAAGCAGCCGAGGTAGATCTCATTGCATCTCGCATGCAATGATTTATGGCCTATGTTTGGCGTTAAGCTGTAAACATTCTTCCAGGAGATAGAAAACAGATGACAGGCATGGGAGAGGGGAGAAGAAGTGGGGTGGTGGTGAAGACTTTTAAGAACTTGAGAGGGGGAAGAGTATATAATAGTAAAAGAAGATACTGTAGTAGAGGACCCAGGTGTGTTATTGTAGAGTAACAGTTTTTACCTTTGAGCCTTGTGATGAGAGATGGTCCCGGTAGTTATGAAGAAAATAATGGTAGCACTAAATAACAGTGCATCTATTACATTTGGTAACAACTTAAGAAACCTGGGCTTTCCCCCGCCTCCCTCTTGCTCCTGCCTGGCATCTGTTTTCTGTCTCCTAGAGGAATATTTACAACTTAACACCAAACATGGGCCCTAAATCATTGTATGTGAGATGTAAACAAATTTCCAAGACTCTTAGAGCCACTGAATATAGCATGCTTTACTTGTGTATTTGGTATTTCAGCCAATATTTTAATTTTTTCCCGTATTTCTGACAAAGTGGACTTGTCCACAAAAGCTTGCAATAAAATAAGTCTTTAAGGTGACACAAATGTTTGTCTGTTTTGTTTTGTTTCTTTGAATTTACCTGATGTACAGTGAAAGGTGTTGCCTTTTATTTTCCTGACACCTGTTAATTTATCTCTAAATTTGTTGCCCTTAGAATTTTGGCACCTTAGGAAGAAGCCTCAGTTTCAATGTCCTAATTGTGGCTCTCACTTGGGTAGATCTTTACATAGATAGGAGAAAGTATTCATATCTTGTGCTTTCATCCTACCATTTCTTTCTCTTATGAATTCAGAATACTCTCCAAATACTGCAATAAAGCTTTTTTGTTTATCTCCAAGGACGTAAACATTTGCATTCATCACAGGAGTGGCCTGGAAACATTGACCAGCAGCCTGTCAGTTTCATTCATATACCCTGGCCTGGATCAGATCTGGCAAGCACATGACACAGTTTTGAATTTGTTAACAAACAGTAGATAGTAAATCTCCTTTGAAAGGGAGGAGAGATTCTAAAGTTTCTTCAGATATAGTTGACGTCATTTTTTGGAATTAGCTCCATGCTACAATAACTCAATTCTAATTATGCTATAATGATAACGATACTTGTCGGATATGCTTCTATGCTGAGGACAAGACTCTCTGTTTCACAAGTTACCCTTTTGCAAATTACACTGACTGCACTGGACTACAGTACTGCACATGCTTGCCTAGGAGTAAGATCCATTGAACACTGTGGAACTTAGTAATGAATGAACATACATAGGCATGTGCTGTTAATATTTAAATTTTAAAACAATTTTTATTGGTTTTAGAAATGGAACAGATATTAATGGTTCAGATAAGTACTTTGGTCTTTCTTCCTGTAGATTCTTTTCTCCCCGTTTCTGAATACTTAAAAATCTGCATGCAACTGGATCATTGGATCTGGGAGGAAGTTTGAGGGGCAATTTAAATAGATTGGGGGTTTTGTTGTTGCAGCTTCAAAAATATGTGGAATTTGGTCCTAGCAGTTCCAACCAGACTTACCTCTGACTTGCAGTGTTAAGAATATACTATGTACTTCAGGGCTGCTGTAAGCTACTTGAAGTACATACCTGCAACCTTGATATTTTACGAACCATATTGCAGGGTTATTGTATACTACAGAACTCACAGTATGGGGATAAAAGCAATGGATAACAATCCAGGGTTTTAACAATTTTGCTTCTGACTAACTTGCAATAGGTACCTAATGTCACTAGACAACAGACAGCTTTGCAGTAAACCATTCAGAATCTGACCTGTTGTACTAATAGGAGGCTTTTCTGTAGGTATATATTTCAGTTTTATATGGGAAGCAAAAAAAGTTATCTAGTGTAATTATGATACATTCCCCAAGTTAGTAGCAGTTAGAAATGCCTGTGTGACATTAAAAATGTCTGCCCTTCTTTAAGGCATAGTTGATGCACATAGTATGTATGATTTTTGGTAATAATATTATAGAAATAAAAATGATCCTGGGAAATCCACATTTTGCAAATTGTCTGTACTTCTATTGTGCAAGAGTATAAAAAAGCATAAAATATTTCCTCATTTTCCAGTGATAAAGAAGTAATGAAAAGTGTGGATTTACACTGTGAGAATATAAAAGTTTTTAGGTGTAAAGTCTATGTTTGTGTGTAAAGACTATTTCTGTTTTAATATAGGGCCTATAGGTGATACAGAAAATATAATTTTTGTCTCTCATTTTTGAGAAGATGCAGCTATCTTAAGACACTGTCTCTCAGCCTTAGCCCCTTTCAGTGAACTGAACTTGCTTTGAAATTTGCATCAGTAGTCATTTTTTTTGAAATGTTAATTAAGAAACAAGTTAGAAAAACATAACATGTTCCATTTGTAGCGCAGAGTGGTTGAGTTTTCTGTAGTGAGGAAAGACTAAGATGAATGGACATACCTTGTTACATTAAAATATTGGATTTCATGATCTTTTTTCTGTGGGAAGGTCTCATTTCCTTCCTTGGTAGTAGTCCTTTCTCTGTAACAGGAAACTCATCACTGATGACAGTAACTGTTTCCATAATATAAAAGACACAATTTGGAATGAGTTAAAATGAACACGGTCAGTAAATACTGTACAGTATATATGAAAGCCATTTGACCATCCTCCTTCAGCACTTATCCCATAAACAATGACACTTGCATCCACAACATAGTGCCATGTCCAGGGGTGAGAGATCAAGAAAATTGTAGTATATAACAAAGTAATACAGCACATCATAAGAATACTGTATATATCTCTATGTGTTTACAGCCTGAGAGGAAATGTGACTGGAAATTGTTTCTTAACAAAAATAAAATAAAACCTACTCTGCAGTAAGAGTTACCAGAAATATATTTTCAGATTTTATAACATTCTCTATTTATCTTAAACTATTGAATATTTATGACTGCTAAATAATGCTTTACTTTGTGTACTGATATTGTGAAGAGGAAAGTATATTTGACTTCTTTAAAAAAAATTTTCTCAAGGAGTGAATGATGGGTTCTGAAGAGAATGAAAGTAGATTATACAAAATCACAACTTCTCAGCAAGCATTCTGTTCCTGTTGTGGTGCTGTTATTACATCAGTTTTGGGTAAGGCAACATATCTCAATTCACTGAGCACAGACTATTAATAGCTTAGTATTGTCTGATACATATGTTCTCAGTTTTAAGATAATGATGTTACATTTTTATGCCTCTTGGAAGAAAGTCTGACTGAGTTCAGTAGGCTTATTTCCTGGTAAGTATGCTTAAGATTAATGCTTAGTTATTATAAGTAGATACAGGGAACGGTTCATTTACTAACAAGATGAATAGAAAACAAAGCTAATTGTTTAGAGATGACTTTGGCAAGGAAGGGGCTGAGGCTCAGTGAACTCGATGTGCTTGGAGATTTTATCTTATTGTGTTGTCAGCATGCTGCATACATGGATAGACCACTCCTTTGTAGACCAGCTCTGCCATGTAGATCAGGCAACAGAACCGTTCTTCATTTGTTGCCTACCAGCTCCCCATGGATTGTTTGCTGCTGCTTTTGCAGGAAAGCTACTGGCATCACTTCTACAAGGCTTTCTGCACTGTATATGCCAGGCTCTGAGGAAAAGGCCCTATCTCTGAGTGCGGCTGACTGAGATCCTAGGTGTATTGAACTGTATAGAAGGGATGGTTTTCACTTATCAGACTTGGGTATGGGCCTTTTTCTATAGGATCTACAAGAGGGTCTTTGAACCAAAATGTTCAGCTTGGTTGGTGGACTTCGGGCATATAAATAGCCCCAGACCATGGCAGGTAGTGCAAAGACAAGAGTTGGGGTGAGTTCACAGTGAACAGATGGTGTGAGAATTATGCCATCTCTCTGTCAGGTGGAGCCAATCGGGCATCAGATGAGAGGTAGTTTTCCATAGGGGGACCTCCCAGCCAGCAGCCCACTTAGGGACATGAGGCTCAGTGGGCTGAGAAGGTGGGGATACCCTTAGCACAGAGCATCTGAATGCATGGTGTACAATAGACAGCACAATTCAGAAATAGGAGCTCCGCCTGCTCTATGAATGGTCCACAGGTATGAACTACTCTGGATTGAGAAGTATATCGCACTATGGCCAGGTCCTCTTGTAGCTGGGGGACTAGTTTAAATAATCAATAAAGTTGTGGCTCAAGTTTTAACCCAAAAGCCTGTGTCTCGCCTGCTAGTAAATATCCACACATTCTCTTGCTTCATTCTGTTTATGGAATTATTAGCCACAAATTTATTTGTGAATATAAAGAAGCCCTAATATTTATAATGTTTTTATATGATGGTATTTTTTATTTGCCACAGTGACACCCCTAGATGTTGTCAAAGTTCGACTGCAAGCTCAAAGCAATCCATCCCTCAAAGGTGAATCCATATAGCTATAAGTTTGGGGTATCAAGAAAGGTGCCTATTTGCCATGTGTTTTCTTGATATGTTTCAGTGTTCGTCGAAGAGAAGAGTACAGTGGGTTAATCATGCAAATGTGAAGAGTCCAAGTATGTGTGTGAGATTGAGCCTTTAAGTCATTGTCAGTAATAATTGCTTTTACTAGTGTTGTATTTGTTAGGGGTTACAACATGAAAATCAGCTTCATTTGGAAGTGAAGATACCACATTGTTAAAATTATAATATATAGAATTTTTAAATTGATTGAAATCCACTTGCACAGAACCAATTGTTAGTGGAAGATTTACACTGATTAAAGGCTTCCTTTGGTGATTTTAAGGTGCGTATGGCTTGCACACAATGTGAGGAAGTCATGTACACCCTGATTTGGCAAAAGGAAGCCTTTAATCAGTGGCATACAGCTTCTGCTGTTATTTCTGTTGCACGAGCAAACCACACCCAGCAGGATTTTGGACTATATAATTATATAAAAAGAGAATGGAAATTAAATCTATTCAGAAGATTTTCTCATAGGTATCTGTAACATTCTCAGTGGTTTGTTTCACAGGCAAGCATAACATCAATGTATGAAATATAGGTGATATATAATGCTCAGATTTATTTTAGGAAAGTCTTTTTTGGATTCTGATGGCTTAACGGATCACGTTTATCTCTATGAAAATGGAACTGGCAAAACTTGGAATAAAACGTGTGGCCGTTTTACTGGCATGAAGGTAAGGAAAATCCCAGTAACATTATAGACTTCTAGCAAGATTAACTCAGTGAATCGATTTGAAGTTTGTGTTAAAAACAGAGACTCTTATCATTTTCACTACTGTAATAAAAACTTTTCTATCTAGCCTTGAAATGACCCTTGTCTTTATTTAAAGAAAATGCAAGCTAGAAAGCCACTTGAAACATAAATAGATATATTTAAAAGCAAATGTAGGACCGGCTGAAAAGGTAACTATGGACAAGAACAGGAAGTAAAAACCAAAGCCAGGCTGCAATACCTTTATCATACTCAAATAAAGTGCCAAAAAGTGTGCAAGCTTTGAATTTTTCAGAATTCAGTCTAAATGCTCCATGAATTCAGGGATGCAGAAATGTTATACAGTACTCATAAAGTCTACAATGAAACACAATCTGGTATGGATATTGCAGATTGAACAAGTCACTGATATGTGTGCAGTATCAAGCACACATTGTTACTGTATTTTATTGTTGTTAGCCGCCTAGAGTGGTCCTCACCGACCAGATAGGCGGGGTATAAATTAAATAAATAATAATAAATAATAATAATAATAAATGCCGATATGAACCAGCAAACATGGGACATTTTTGAAAATTCAAGGCTGGTGCCAGCATTGTTTTCTGAAAATTAGAGTCATACTGTTTCTTCATGTGAGTACACATTACTAGGTATAAACTGATGCCAAGCATTGTGGAGTGGACTACCTGCATCACTGTAAGATTCATGGTACAGTCTGTCATCTGCCATTGACTCATTCAGCCTCCTGTGTTTGGCTCATGAAATATTTTATTTTACAGCAACTAAAAATATTCAGATAGGAAGGAAAACTGCAATATTGGTGTGCAAGTGTTTTTTTAAATAACAACACTGTTTTTTTAATAAAAGGCAGAACGTAAAAAGAGCCATACTGGATCAAAAGAAAGCTCTGTCTAGTCCAATATTCTATTTGCACGATGCCTAGTCAGTTGTCAATCTGTCAAGTTTGCTCCTGAAATGTGAACATTACAGCCTGTGTAATCTCTAATCCTTCCTGTTTTGATACTTGGTTATTTCAGGATGCTTTTGTGAAAATTGCTCAAAGAGAAGGCATTAAAGGATTGTGGAGTGGACTACCTCCATCACTGTAAGTTACACTACTTTTGTTTTCTTACATAAGAAAAACCACTGTTACTGCATAGATAGATCTTTACAGATAACTTAATTTACTAAGTCTGTACAAACATGCACACTAATGTACAATAGTTAAGCAAAAAAAACCTGGCTGAAATTTTGTTGCATAGCTCCTTATGTGCAATGGTGATGAAGAGCAATTTGGGGTGCATTTGACTCACACACAACGTGATGAAGTTGTGTGGTCACCAAATCCCCAAAGGAGGTCTTTAATCTATGGCAATTCCCCCTGCTGTTGACATCATCACTATTGTGCTCATAGAGCTGTGCAACAGGATTTCAGTCGCTGCTCCTTCATTTTGGATTATGTTCATATAGTAGACACAATTTTAAGAGCATTCCCTTATATTTGAGGGAGTATTATATTTCACATTTTATTCTCAATACTTTTTTGGAGAGGGTCTTTAAATTCATTTGCTTTAGATTAATTGGAATACCTATCAATCTATTGCAGACCAGTTTCAAACTTCTAGTGAGAATTCCTAAGGGACCATTTGTTACTCCTTGCCTCCTCTCTACTTTTTCTTATAGATAAAATATCACTGGTATCTGTGGTTCAGCAGTAATTGAGACAGAAAGGGTCAAGTGTCAGAGGAGATCACCTTGTCAGGGCATCATCTTACCAAAGGAGATGGTGATTCTGCCAGATTTGAATTGGAGGAAAATGTCTGCTTTGTAGCACGGAAAATTCTTAATCTTCAAATATACTAAGTGATCCAGTAATGTACACCTGAACACCAACTTCTCTTCCAGTGCTTTTCCATAGCTAACCATAATGTTACCCCCAAAGAAGAAACACTGAAATTTTATTCTCTTCTTATAACTTGGTGCCCCACAATCATTCTGAGTTACAAGAAATGGACAATATTATTGGTGTTTCAAGTTTTTGTCTTAAAAGGATATGAGTGTTCACACTTAACTGCTTCAGTTTTGCAATGATTAGTCTGGAAATACTTTGTAAAGGTTTTTGAATAAAAGATGATAGAGACTGAGGGAAGTGAAAAGGAGTGGAGTTCAGTTGGTTTGTTAATGCCCAGAAGTTAAGATAATCAGGGGAGACTTTTCTCTCTGTCCCACTCCTTCACAGATGTGCTTGGTGGGTACACAAGAGAGGGCCTTCTCTGTCACTGCTCCCAGACTCTGAACCTCCCTCCTGCAGGAGGCCAGGCTGGCCCCATCTTCACTGTCCTTTCTCAAGCAAAGACCTTTCTCTCCAAACAGGCTTTTCTTTAGTGCTTGACTGTCTAGGAGACAGTAAACAGGATGGTTTATATTTAGTTGCTTCTAAATCTGCTTTTACCTAACGTTTTAATATACTGTCCTTAATTCTTCTTTAATTTTGAATAATTTACTATTTTTAGCTTTTAATATTATGTTTTTAATGATGCAAGCTTCCTTGAATCCTTTTTTAGGAGAAATATGAGGTAGAAATATTTTAATAAACAAATAAATTGCAGGAGGCCAGGCTGGCCCCATCTTCACTGTCCTTTCTCAAGCAAAGACCTTTCTCTCCAAACAGGCTTTTCTTTAGTGCTTGACTGTCTAGGAGACAGTAAACAGGATGGTTTATATTTAGTTGCTTCTAAATCTGCTTTTACCTAACGTTTTAATATACTGTCCTTAATTCTTCTTTAATTTTGAATAATTTACTATTTTTAGCTCCAGGCTGGCCCCATCTTCACTGTCCTTTCTCAAGCAAAGACCTTTCTCTCCAAACAGGCTTTTCTTTAGTGCTTGACTGTCTAGGAGACAGTAAACAGGATGGTTTATATTTAGTTGCTTCTAAATCTGCTTTTACCTAACGTTTTAATATACTGTCCTTAATTCTTCTTTAATTTTGAATAATTTACTATTTTTAGCTTTTAATATTATGTTTTTAATGATGCAAGCTTCCTTGAATCCTTTTTAGGAGAAATGTGAGGTAGAAATATTTTAATAAATAAATAAATAAATAGATTAATTAATTAATAAATAAACAAAATACTATTTCAAAAGCACCCTTAGTATACCAACAAACATAACAGTCATGGCATTATATGGAGAAAAACTACATTATACCTGAACAAGCTGCTGTACTTTTTTGAGTGCTGAGGAAGTACAGTATCTCTGCATCAGAAATCAATGTCTTTCAAAAATGCATTCTTGTGCTGCTAAGGGCTGTTGTCTTAGTTTTTATCTCCGTTCAAAAACTTTAGTAAGCTTCCTTATACTCAATCACATACTTGACCTGTGTAGCTTAACACAGACCTTCTCAACAAACAATGAGTTTCCAGGGTGTTGGTGCAGGATTTTTTTCCATAACCTGATATCTGATCTTTTAAATGTAAAGTATATTCTCTATGGCATCAAGCTGTGCCCATCTGGATCTCCATACACGTTTTAACTTAAGGGAAAACACTTAACTGAGTAAACAAATATTGATTGATTGATAGCATCAATAAATACCTCTGTTATTTTAGAGCAGTTTCAGTTCCAACGACAGTAATTTATTTTACCTGCTATGATCAACTACGTGATGCCTTCGTTTCTAAGTTAGAAGATAATGACTACATCCCACTTATTGCAGGTGGCATAGCCAGATGTGAGTCAAACAGTTTGTAAACTCTTTATTTGCTGTTAAACTTTATTTTTGACAATTGAAAAGAAAATTTTGATGAAAGTTACATTCGTTGTAGCAAGAATTATAATAGCGCTATGGAAATAGAACAAATGTAACTAGCTTTCCTTATTCCTTAGATTTAAGATTTGCTTGGTGCTCCTGTGACATAGAGCCCATGAGCTGTCATGATCATGAATGTGAGAGACTGAGTTTTTCAACAAAAACAGCTCTGGGAGCACCCTCTGCCTTGCAGCCATCAACTATTCCCTAAGTTCCAGTGAAGTATGCTGTCTCTGCTGTTTGTGAGGAATTCACCTTAATTTTTTTCAGCAAGCAAGACAGTCCTAGGAGGCATTTTCCAAGCAGATATTTGCTCTTTAAACATTCACACACACACTCAAAGATACCAGCAAACCCTTAAAGAAAGTTGGAGATAGTATGTGCGGTGATAGACCTCTCAGAAATACTCACCTGGTGAGATTATAAAACTTTGGCAAGCAGTCTAGGCCACTGTTGCTTTAACCTTATTTTTTCTCTAGGTTTACTAGCCATGGTCCTGAATCCTAGTCCTGTAAAGCTGGCTGGTACTTGTAGTACTGTCCAGGGTCCTGAACCGCTTTCATTTCAGATCTGTACCTATCATCAGCATTACCTTGTGCCCTCTCATCTGAGCCATCACCTTGAGGGAACAGTGGTTTCCCATCTGGAGCAGGGCAGTTCCAATTTTCTTGTTTTCCTTGAATCCCCTTTCCTTCCCTTTTCAGAAGATAGTGACATACATTTGTATTGAAGTTAACACTAATCATATACAGCTTGTATTTTATTTCTCATGTTTCATAGCCAGGAGTGTTGCTCCTGAAGTGGATCTGGTTAGAAAAAGCATATATGGATAGAGTTGCCATCCAAAGCTCAAATTGCATTCATCAGTAGCAGAGCTCTTTAGGGGAGACTCAGTTGTAAAGCAGCCATTTATAAAGTACAGACTAGGCCCCAATTTTAAGAACTAGGAATCTGACAGCCCTGATGTGGAGGAGTTTGATACTCATTTTTCCTATTAGAGCCTTAATTAACCCCTAGCAAAATTTGGAGGGAGATAACAAGAATATTTTTAAAAGCTAACAACTGAGTACTAGTAAGAGAAAATGTAGACACAGAAACAGCATTGCAAGGCTAAGCTAGGGCCCTTATTAATGCAGTTCATTTTAGTTCCTAGATCAACAAAAATCAACTCTCAAATAATTAGTAATCCTTCTGTCAGTCCCTGTCCATATATTATAAACCACAAACTAAAGGTGCTGGTACATCCAATGATAGCAATGTTATAGGTACAGTTGTGCTGAGCTTGTAGTTTACAAACTATTTTAATTTTTATATATAACTCCTGAAGAAGGCCTGTGTGCTGAAACACATTGAGTATTTTTAAATTAGAATAAAGTTGATTCACATCTTTCTACGTCCTGGTCTCTTATTTTGACTTTTGCATACATTATAAGCAACAGAGGCTAATAGTACCTTAAGTGTGTAGAGTTTTTCACATTGGTGACTAAACTTGTTTTTTGTGCTTCTAGTAGGCAGTCAAGCAACCAAATTAGATAAATCAAGCAAGTGGAATAAACAGCTAGAACGTTTTTTGTTTTGAAGGCAGAGTACTTTTGTTGTCTTGAGAGGCATAAAACGGCTCTCTTCAATAGTAGGAGCTTTCAGTATGACTTCCTTAGGAAGCTTCTTTTTCACTGGGAATACAAGCAGTCTAGGAAGTGACTAGTTTTTGACTTGCCATCTTTAAGAAAGCAGCAAGCATCCATACAGAGTGAAGAGGCAACTTCATACTTACTGAATTTATTTGATCTTAATATGTAGCTGACATAATTACTACAGTAGAGCTAGAATCTAAGGAACAGGGAAAATGTCATTGGGTCAATTAACATCAAGGTTTTTAAAAGTATTTTAATTATCTAAGAGTTTATATGTATTCACTATAGCATAACATTCACCAAATGGTAAATATTGTGGGACCTTAATAGGGAAATGTTTATGAAATATTTGTGTCTGAGGAAATAAACGACATCTTTGCTGTTCCCTAGATTCTCAATGTCGGCCATATATTAAGCTCAAAGAAATTCAGTAAATTAAGTATTAAAGTCCCTTTTATGTATGTCATATTGAATATTTTCTGGTATTACAAACGGATCTTGATATATCTAAAATATATTAAATTTATCTAAGATCATTAACTTGCCAGGAAACAGATCTTGATCAACTGATTTGCATCTTTGGAACATTGATAAGCATTCTGTGGAGAAAGAATAGCTTTGGCAGGGCACTCAGTGTGGTATAGTGGAGAGTGTGATGGACTAGGGCTCATCAGGAGCACATTCAGCAGTGAAACACTTGAGGGAGGGACATTTGTAAAATCACTTAATTATCTGACTTATCCTGATAATCCTATACGGGTTGTTCTAAATCAGATTCAGTTTGGCAGCACAGATGACACACAGCTTTGCCAGGGGAAGAAAAAAATGGTATAAGGGTTTAGGGTTCTTGAAGAGCTTGGATTGTTTAATTTACTTTTCACTCTATGACTAACTTTTCATATCAACCAAGTTCTGTATGATTTGAATTTTGGAACTGTACACATGTTCTTTCATTTTAATCTCTTGCACATTTTTTAAAGTTCTGTAAATCAAGAAATATTACAGTGTACTGTGCATATAATATTAGAATGTATGATGTTCTAATTCAATTTACTCAGTTAATACTAATTGCCATATCTTCCTAATGTGGCATGCATGGCATCATCTTAATGGGGGCTGGTGGAAACAGCAGCCCAGCAATAACTACAGAGCAACATATGTTCCCTATCCATAGTGTATTTTCCTTCCATATAATAGAAAGAAATTGAGAATTTTGCTTCCACTTTTAGTCAAATGTAGCCTGACATGTTTACTGGAGTAATAAACTGTAAAAAATCTATTATCAATTTAAATCAAACCAGTTTCAAAACATGGACTATGAAATGGGTTTAAGTCAGCAGCTGTTAGTATTAAACAGTTCCTAGTTTGAGTAATATAGAAAGCCATGATTAACTAAAAGAATCAAAAGTGTCTGAGCCTTTTCAGAGTTCATAAAGAACAGAAACATGTAAACTGGTGTTCATTGCAGCTCATTTCCAGCACAGTAAACTATGGCTTATTATAAAATGAAAGGTGTGGAAAATTTTGAGAGCAAAATCTGACTCAGATTCCATTGAAAAAACTTTCCAAACAGATCTATTTAAGTGTGTTGTCTTTTGTCTCTCAATTGTAGTGTGTTCGGCCACTATAATAAGTCCAGTTGAAATGATTAGAACAAGAATGCAATCTCAGCGGTTGACTTACAAACAATTGCTTGCCTGCATTAGTAGTAGTATCACCAAAAATGGCTGGCTTTCACTCTGGAAAGGATGGGGTCCTACTGTTCTTAGAGATGTGCCATTTTCAGGTATGACTTATTTTTAACCAATAAAAATACCTGATTTTTATATGTGTGTGTTTGTATAAATTAGAGACGGGTATTCATATACGAATATCCCCGCACAGGTGGAAATAGCAAGGGTCTGACCCCATGAGGCCGGACTGTCCACTCACGATTTCGCTGCTGCTGGCTCCACAGAGTCTTCCTATCATGTTGTTCTCCGCAGTGGATTAGCCACTCTCTGACCTAGCAGAGAGGCTTGTCATCATGCCTCCTGCCAGGACTGGGTAATCGATTGTGGACAATGGCGCGATAGGAAGGTCCGACGAGCTCACATCAGTGGCAAAATCATGAGTGGTTCATAACCCTCATTATTTCCACCTCTGTGGAGATATTCATATATGAATGCAAATATCTCCATCTCTAGTATCAACACATATATTTTATTGTAAATTCATACTGACTGAAAATTAATCAACTGAGAATATACAATAAGGTAAGTGCAAATAGTTAACAAGACATTTGAAATGTTTTGATCAGTTAGGGGCATTACATTATATAGTTAGTGGTGGCTAATTCTTCTCCATCATGACTGAAACATTGAATGAAGATTTTAAAAGTCTGTAAAATATTTATATTTATTTATTGATTTATTTCATTTATACCCCACCTATCTGGTCATTACGATCACTGTAGCTTCTTATGACCTGGTACTAATTCTAAAACTGTCAAATATCAAGACCCCACCTCAGAGCACTTTTCTCCTGTTTTTTGTGTGTGGTTTCTGTTAGCAAACCATTATGATGTAGTCAATAGAGTGACAAACTAGGATTCAGGAGACCTGAGTTTGAATCCATGCTCAGCTATATTCACTGGGGGTATGAAACAGGTAAAAACAGTCCTTAAATATCTCACTTACCTTTGAAGCCTATTGGGGTCGGTATACTTCTTTTCTGATTTGACATAACAATGGTTTTTATTACAGTACATAACTGCAAAGAGTGCAGTAGTGTGGGAATTATATAAACAGACCATCGACAATGCTATTGTGCAACTTTGGGTGTTTTCGACAGGCCAAAACTAATTTATTCATCTAATAGTCAGTAATTTTTTTAATTTTATTTTTAAACTATAACATAAACATAAAATACATAAACCAAAATACAAATTAACTCTGTTCCCCACCACCATAGACAGGAGCTTTTGCAATAATCTTCTTTTTCCTCCATCAATATTCTTCTTCTTCTTCTTCTTTTATTGTCCTCTTCTCCAGAATTGCAATGATTCTTAATTTGGAGCTTCCCCTTTTCCTCTTGTTAACACATATTTCAAAACTCTGCCCCATATATCATAAAAATTGTTCTTTTTTCAACTCTCCTTTCTTAACGTTTAAATTACAAGTTAGCTTATCATTTGTAGCTATATTCCATATTTCATTATACCATTCGTCCATTCAAAATTCATATTTTGATTTCCATTGCCTAGCTATTATTAGTCTAGCTGCTGTTAATAAATTCGTAATCAATTTTTTAGTCAGTTATTTTTAAAGCAATAACTTTGTCAGAATTGCTATGGCTCAAGTGATAGAAAGCATGTTTTCTGTATGCTTTCTGTATGGTTCCATGCTTGCAGTTTCAGGTAGAGCTAGAAAAACCCTTCCCTGAAAACTCATAGACCCACTGCTAGTTACTGTCCACATGACTGGGCTAGGTGTGCAGGTGGTCTGATTTAATATAAGGTCGTCTCTCCTGCTCCTGCAATATTTATAATAATTGCAAAATTGTTTGAAACAATGAATTTTAAAGCTGGAATGAGTTTTTATAATTACTGTTTGGTGTTTCCATAAACACTAACAAGTCACTGCATTGATACTTCCTCTCCCTATAACATCAGAGTCAATCAACATTTACAAGAATTTAATGCAAATTAGACAGCAGAGTTACAAAGGAAACAGCCAGTTCACCTAGGAAGGTAAAATGCATGGTTCCAGCTTGCTGCACCTCCTGTGCTTCTAGATTTGGAAGAAAGCAATCCTCACTGTCCGTGCTGTTAATAAATGACACAGAGGTCATGGAATATTTGATCACAGTCAACTAGGTGATCAGGGCAAAGGATTTGAGTTGTTGAAAAAAATATCATTCCGCAATGCAACATGGATGAAGATGCAACATAATAAATGGGGGTTCTTGTTTGTTTTTGTTTCAATTAATGAAACTTTTATTTTCTTGCTAACAATGAATGCCACAGAAATATGAATATGGATCATTATAATTCTCAGTTTGTGTAACATTCCATATTTTCTGACCACTGATAAATTCCTGTGCAATTTGTCTATATAGCATTGTACTGGTATAACTATGAATCCTTCAAGAAGACATTATGCAAGGAAGCAGATATACATGAGCCAACAGTCCTTATTACCTTCTCTTCAGGAGCAGCAGCTGGTTGTGTAAGTCCCATTTCTTGTTGTTAATAGAACATTCAATAACTGCTATATTGTGCAAATGTGAAGACCACCTCAAGAGAGAATGCTATTCTCTCTTGTTCTCTCCAGGCTGAGAGAACAAGAATGTTTCAGAGCATGAGGTTTGCTTAAATCCTACACCAATCCAATGAATGGTGTCTAAGTATACATTTAGGCACTTAAGCTCCACTAATAATTCACACATACTTTAAATATACAACCATCCCAGCTTATATTCCCACATATACTATCACTTTGCTCAAGTACTTAGAGTAGCACAGCAGAACACCAGCAAATATGAGACCATAACAAATCTGTCTTAACGTTAGGAATGCAAATAGCTCTGTGACCAGGCATCACTATTCAGAGCATATGTGTCGATTGCCTTTACATATACTCTTACATATACTCTTACATATAAAGGCTTCCACAGAGATTCATGTTGCACAAACACCAGGGACAATGCTGGTTGCGTCTCCATGGTGCAGCAAGGTCCCTCTTGTTGGTCTTCAAATAAAGCCCAAATACATCTGGTGAATATATAGCATTTTACACTCTTCCCCTGCCTTGATAATTCAGTAGGAAGAATAGATACAATCTATAGAAAGACTGTTCTGAATAAAAAACTACATAGTGGATCTCACAAACTGGAAGCGATCAGTAAGTAAAGGTTTTTCAACAATGGTTTGAAGCTAATGGAAGATATTGATGTTCTTAATGCTACTTTGGAGGTATGGAACCTGTGGATACCGGTGTACCCACAAATTATTTTTGATTTTTTAAATTTAAAAATTGTGATCAGGACTTTTGAAGCGTACCATTGGTCTGAGAAAGGACATGGGAGGAGACTTCCTCAAGAATGCGAGGACTTTTGTTAGCATACCCAGTGTGGTGTAGTGCACTGGTTCTTAACCTTGGGCTACTCAGGAGTTTTGGACTGCAACTCCCAGAAGCCTTCACCACCAGCTGTCCTGACTGGGGTTTCTGGGAGTTGCAGTTCAAAAGCATCTGAGTAACAAAGGTTAAGAACCACTGGTGTAGTGTATAGAGTGGCAGACTAGGACTCAGTAGGCCTGAGTTCGAATCCCTGCTCAGCCATGGAAACTCACTTTGCAGAATGAATAATAGGTCTTCTAAGTTTAACAAGGAAAGTTGCAGCCTTTTGGTTAAAATTGTGAAATTTGTGTCAGATCAGTATTTTATATTCTCATGTATACGGTACAATTATATTCAGTTCAGCCTCAGTAAATTAATAAAAGTTAATATTTGTAGTGCTGCAATGCTGTGGTACATCAGGTTAAAACCCATTTGTAGTTGCATGATGTTACAAATGACAGTGAACATGCAAAATCTAGTTTTATTCCTGACAGTGAATCATAGAATAATGGAGTTGGGAGGCACTTATAAGACCATCAAGTTGCTGGTAGTTTTTTGTATATGGATGTTGTAACATTTAGATCTAAATATTTTCCCTAGATTGCTGCTACATTAACTTTACCCTTTGATGTAGTAAAAACACACAAGCAAACTGAACTTTGGGAAACTGATATCACACAATGTAAGTTATCTGTAAATTGCTTATTTTGGTAATATATCCAGATGTGTATTTAAATACTGTTTTTATTGTGTCCTTTGAAGTGGGTTCATTTTAGTTTAGGTTACAGACATCTTATTGAAAACTGCTCATGTTTATCAAAACAGCAGGATAAAAATGTTCAAAAAGATTGGCTTCAAGTCCTGCTTTCTGAAAATCATAGCGTATAGCCAAATGTACCATTACAGACACATGGCTACATAGTTGTAGAATTATTTATTTGTGCATCCACATTTTTCACTTGTATTTAATATTTTTCTTTTACCTAGCATCACAAAAAAGTGCACCATTATGGAGAATAATGAAGAGAATTGTGGCTGAAAATGGATTTACTGGGTTATTTACTGGTAAATTATAATTTTCAAATAAGGCAGCTATTCTTTATGGTGCCACATTTGTTTTTTTTTAATTTTCATTTTATTTTTACTGAACATGCTAGCACAGACTAACATGGTTACCTTGTTTAAAACTGGTAAATGTTTATTTTAATATTTAAGACATTGAGGGACCAATAAGTGCCCTGGTAACGCTGATCAGCCTCTTCAGCGGTAACAACTGGGAGAAACAGCATGGTACAAAGGTGTAATGAGTAATAATTACAAAAAATTGAGGTGAAAGAATTGGCAAATGAAAATTGCCATGTTCTTTTATGGTACCTACATGACTCCAAAGCCCTACTGTGAATGTTGTTCATGGCAAAGTTTCATATCTTTTTGATGAGATTCATCTTTTTGAAATTCAAGTAGGAATGATGACTAAGTTAGTTTAAGACTATACAGCCTCTCATATACAGTGGAACCTCTACTTATGAACGTCCCTACCTACGAACGATCCAACTTACAAACAGCTCCAGCTGCAAAATTTTCCTTCTACTTGTGGCCAGAGCTTCAAGATGCGAACGAAAAAGAACTTACAAACAGGTGGGAAATTCAAACCATTGGTGGCGAAGAGGCTGCTTCTTTGTAGCTCTTTCACCGCAATCGTTAGGAAAAGGGAGACTCAGCCTCCTGGGCTTCCAGCACTGCTGCTACCACCGCTGAGAGGCAAGCCGCTGGACCATCCCAGCTGGGCTCAGCCTCCCGGGCTTCCAGCACCACCGCCGCAGGCTTTCCCGGGGTTTGCCGCAAGACCCGCCTTTCCCCCCTGCTGCGCGGCTTCTCTGCCGCCATGGGAGGCTTTCCTGGGGCTTGCTCCAATCGCCGCCTTTCTCCGTCACCATCCACTGATGGGCCAGGGTTTCCGTGCTGCCGACACAGGCTTTCCCAGGCTGGGTAGACTGGCCCTACTGGGGCGGGGCTTCCCCTAGTAGGGCCGGTCTACCAGCCTGGGAAAGCCTGCATCAGCAGCACGGAAACCCTGGCCCAGAAGTGGATGGTGGCGGACAAAGGCGGCGCTTGCGGTGAGCCCCGGGAAAGCCTCCCATGGCAGTGGAGAAGCTATGTAGCAGGGGAGAAAGGCAGCACGTGCGGCAAACCCCGGGAAAGCCTGCAGCGGCAGTAGACAAGCCCTGGCCTGGCAGCAGCAGCTGGAGTCCAGTAGACCTTCTGGCAGTGGCGGTGGAGGTAAGGTGCTGCTTTTTAAAAACTGTTTGGGGTGGCTTTTGCAGGGTGGGATTGGCCTAGTGGGGTTATGTTTGTTTTTTATTTGTTTTGTTTTTTGCAGCCACAGGGGCTTGCAGTGTTTTATTTATTTATTTATTTATTTGTGTTATTTTTGTTGTTGTTGTTGTTGTTATTATTATTATTGTTGTTATTGTTAAGGTATTTTTTTCTTCAGCCGGAATGGATTAATCAGTTTTCAATGCATTCCTATGGGAAATGGTGCTTCTACTTACGAATATTTCAACTTACGGCCACCGTTCCAGAACGGATTAAGTTCGTTAAGTAGAGATACCACTGTATAACCTTGCTCATTTCTTATGTTACTTCTTGAACACCTTGTACTCCTTTTACTCCGCCACAAGGCCAGTATAAGTTGTCACAGAATATTTTGCTTCTGGATGGCTAAAGGTCAATACAGATGAGGGAAAGCAGATGAAATAGCATTGAAGCTGAAATCCTGAAAAACAGAAACTCAATTATCAGTTATATATGCAACTTCAGCATGTTTTGTAGTGTACTATTACCAGATTAAATACCAAAACAAAATCATCTTTATTTTATTAGTCATGCAAAAATTCAAGTAACTACTTTACATAATGGCTTACTGATAGTTGCCAGCTCAGATTTTTAATTATAGTTTCAAGTGATTTTCCTGTACTGCTAAGCTCTTGAACATAAACAATTTCTTTTTTGTAGGTATTATTCCAAGGCTGACAAAAATTGCTCCTGCTTGTGCCATCATGATTAGCACATATGAATATGGAAAGTCTTTTTTTCATAAATTAAACAAAAATCAAGAAATGAAGAACCATTAATACTGCTTCTGTAGACTTAAAAGTAATAGAATTGTTGTGCATTGAGTGAGATATCAAGGTGCACAAAAGAAGCATTACATCTTAAAGTATAAGTCACTTTTTCCATGCCTCCATCCACCTTTGTTCAGTATGAAGATCCAACCCTGCAGAAGGAGACAGAGGCTGTGTCCCTAAACATTATCTGTGTTTAAATGAATACAGAAAACAGGAACTACTGTTTAGTTTCTGTAAAAGTGTGAGAATTTGCCTGCCATTCTATAGCCACTTCATGTAGTGAGCAGTGCTACGTATCTGATAGCAGAATGTAACTGTTGCATTTAGTAGGTCTGCTTGTGCTACAGAAAAAGAAACTCTTGGAAATAAGGATGTATATAAATAAGGATGCAAAGAACCAAGTCTTTACATAACTTTTAAAACAATACTATGGCACCTTCAAAAGCTAATAGATTTCATGTGGCATGAGCTTTCTTGAGCTACTTCCCATTTCCTCATGTAGGGAGTATGTGTCTGAAGATTACAGGCCATAGGTCATACCATAATAAAACTATTAGTACAGGTGCCACATGACTCTTAGTTTTATCTGTAACTGACCAACACAGCTACCCCCTTTAAAACAGCTACACAACTTTAATGACTGCAAGTAGTAGTATTCTTGCCTTGAAAAAAGCTTATAATTGGGTTATGATAAGTATTTGTTTGTATAATTGTGGCACATCACTAGCATTAATAAAATCATTCCAGTTTTGCTAGAAGTGTGTAGATCTTAAGCAGTTTCCTGATCTTGATGTTTTATATGCTTACCTGCCCTGAGTCTTTGGGATGCAACTTCCAAAAGCTACCACTCTTTCCATTAAATTAGAGGGGTTTTTTTAAGAGAAAGGGACTGTTTAAACTTAAGGGTTAATAGTAGCATACAGGTGCAGCCAGCTGTTGAGCAGATCAACCATAGGCTGTTATCAGGACATGCATGTCATGATTCCTGAGAGGAGGTAATTAGAGTTCCAAATCCACATAAAATAATCTGTCCATAAATGTAGTCTCATGTGTGTAATTTCTTCTGGATATAGAAGTTAAGTTTTAATATGTTTTGAGTATAAATAATACAGCTTTCAGGTTTTTTAAATCTAGGTAATTTTGAGTGAGGTTTAAGAATCATATTTAAATTATTGCAGTAACATTGTTTACTGAATCCAAAGGAAAGTTACACAACAGATGTTTGTAGCTATGTTTTTAGCATTTGGGGAATTTCTTTCAATAGCCTTCATAATTTAACCAGCAAATGCCAATTTTACCATTCTCAGTGAGTGCTAGTTTTCTCATTCTACATCACAGGAGGGGTGGGATAGGAGCAGCCAACAGGAAAGGACTGAATGGATTTTGAAGAGTAAGTCTCGTTAGACATTCCTTCTAGAATTGTTCATAAAGGTAAACTGTGTTTAGTCCTCGACAGTGCAGATAACTGTCTACAAAATGTTACACTCACTATTACTCTATTTTTCTCTCCCAAACTCTTTCATCTCTTTGAACTGCCCAGAGGTGAAACACACTACATGGGCAGTATTGAAATGTAATTCCCATGAAGCCACTGGTTCAAGGTTAGGGAGTGTAGTCTGTCTAAGTGTTTGATTGTAACTCTTAGCACCTGTACCCTACATAACTAATGGTGAATAACGGAAGTTGCAGCAAGAGTCTCAAACCCTACTTTGACTTAACAAGTTAGCTTTGTTTCAGTTGGGGATTGAGATAAAATAGGAATTTGTTGAACTTCATCCCTTTCTACCCTTTTGCTAATCTGCACTGATTTTCCACTGATAAAATTTAGACTGGGATTAGGAATGTAGAGTTCTCAAGATACTGTTTGTAACTTCCATCCTCCTCACCATTGGCCATGCTGACTAGGCCTAGCTGGAGCTGCAGTCCCCCAAAGTCTAGATGTCACATGTTGTACATCTTTAGGTTAGATTTTGAGTATGAGGGCACTCACTTTTTGTGTTACAATGAACCCTTGTATACTACAGATGTACAAAAAGATTTTAAAAAATAATATGCAGTGAAAATGAATGCTTAATACAACTATAGGATGACTAATATAAAACTGCAGGAAAATGCTACTCCTTTAAAAGAGTAAAATCAAGCAAACAAAGCCATGTGGTCCTAACAAAATACAAAAGCAAGGGGAGCTGATAATTTCATTAGACCACTTAAATAATATTTTTTAAAAACAGAATCTAAAAATAGCTTGCTGTTGATCTATACTAGTCTTCAATCAGGTTGTGCACCAATATGGTGTGACTAGTGCAGAAAAAAAATCCAAAAGTTAAGTCTGTGCCTGGTTTGTTTCCTAAAAGTGCTGATTTTTGAGAAACAGACCTACCATGACTTCTGAAACTTTCAAATATTTTTTCTGCACTAGCCACAGTATATTGATACACAGCCTGATAAAGACTAACTAGTATTGGTCAAAAGCCAGCATTAAAAAAATCTTTTACTGGTCTTATAAAGCTATCACCTTACCTTGCTTTTAAAAGAGCAAATACTCATTAACGTCTATCATTGGTATAAAATCAATTTCACAACTCTCATAAAAGCAATATGTAATGCAAAGCTGCATGTTTTAGATTACCACAATTCCACAATCCCTAAAATCAATGCAATGCTCAGTTCTAATGAATATGAATAGGCAATTAGCCTGTCATCAAGAACAACTATAAGAGTAATCGTACAAAATATTTAATGGACGTGCAACATTTGGTACAGCAGGGCAATAAATATGCACAGCATGGTTTCTTTTTCAATTTTGAAATCTTAGCAAGATTTCAAAACAAAAACAACCTTTTCATGCAAAAATATCAAGTTAACTGGTTTTACGCATACATTCTAGACATTTCAGCTATGCTCTACAAAAGATTTTCATCCAACTGCTCCAATCTGTCACTGGTGTGACAAAGTAGTAGTTTTAGATCTACATTATACTGGTCCACATTTTCACATACAAGCCAGCTAGCATTACTGTACACAACTCTGGGAACTTATATGCACTGATCAAGTTTGTCCCTCATATTTTTAAGGGTATCTATTTTACAAGAGATAACATGCATGAAGTTATTTTTATCAGGTAAGCAGCCCAATACAAAACTTTTGGCAGAGCAGGAATGCTGTCTTGTTTCAAAATTTAACTCCGGTATACAACACAATAAACTTGTCAAAACCATTCATTCATTCTCATATAAATCAAATTGTACAACATGTCTTATAGGAGGCACATTTCTGTTTGGCAAAATAATATGGCATCTATATGACAGTCCCAAAGTTATCTGTACTTCTAGATTACCCATGTTGCTGCACACTAGTAAACAAAGTATGGAATTTCTTTGGCACAATAAAGGATTTAAGAAAACTCTCCAAATTCAGAGGACCTGTGTGTATCAAATGACTTACAATTACACATGATGATTGTGCTTCAAAAATGAAACCGCAGTTTACAAAAATAACATATGCATTGTTTAGATGTTATAAAATAAAGCTTATTGGAAACTTAACAGCTTACATCTGAATTTTCATATGTTCTTCTACAAAGTAAATGAAACAAACAGCTCAGAACCCAAGCATGAAAAATAGATAACAAAAACATTTACATCAAAGTCAGTTGTGGCACTTGCCATTCAGAGATACTTTGTTCTCAAAAAGAAGTTATAAATAAATAGTAACATTACTCTTTTCTGAAAGTATCTCCTGCCTTTACATTAAGGTGTATTGTGAACACAGCCATTTAGAAACTATCTCCAAATGTCTTGCTTTTGCACAAGTTTTGTTATGTCAAGATGCCAAATGCAATAATTTAGTCACCTAGATTAATGAAGTCTACAATATAATACAAGTTTAGTTAGAGGGCTAGTAGTTGCCCATGTTTTCCTTTTCTAAATCCATCATAGTAACCAGAATTCTATTCATGTTCGCATAAGGTTTGCATAACTTGCTACAGCTAACTCCAACTAACTGATGATGTTCTGGGACACATCTTGATTGTCCAACTAAGCACATGACACACTGAGACATATCCCAACAACTAATCAATCAGCAGGAATTGGCCACATCAAGTAATGTATACATGAACTCCAGTAGAATTCTGACCAATTGTATGCCTCAAATATTTTGCTATGTATAATATTATTCCTGTATGCTAATATCAAATGTTACACTTACCCACCAATTTTTGTGCTATCCTTTCAAAATATCAGTATATCTAAGGAATTTCAATAAAGTACACTGATCTGAAGATCAAGAGGTCTTACAGAAAAGAGACAATCTGTCACTTAGTATAATAAACCCCCCTCATTTTTACAGGCAATTTATAGCCTTAATTGTACATTCAACCATAGACTGAATACCATGGAGTCAAGGAGTATGCTCCTAGACAGTCCTTTATCAAGACACCAAAACCAAAAAGGACAGTTAGCCATTCTAAAAAAATAAGGTTGACCTCTTATGATCCTTGACAGCAAATAAACCAAGGAAGACCAACTGAATGCAATCCAAAAGGCCTTCTCTACATAGATCTGCTCAAGAAGGAGTAAGTCCAGGACTTGTCATCTCTGTCGTAGGGCTTGCAAGATATTCACTGGATTTCAAACTTGTGAGAGATTTGTAACTTGCTACTGAAGTCAGAGAGCCACAGAGACCAAGTAATGAAGGAGTATCTTCTTTTCCTAATTAAGTGAGGAAAAACACTTAAATTATAACACATTTTAACACAAGAGGATTATCATTATCTTACTGTTCTCATTTCTTGATCCTTCAGTTGAACTACTGCTACAAGTATCTTACACAGAAAAAGGATATCCTGCTACAAGCTGCTATAGCTTAAAACCCTTGCAAATCACTTGCAGGGAGTGATTAGGAAGTATTCCAAGGCCTCCCCTTGCTGGAATCTCAGTTTAGCAAGAGCTCAGTTGAAGAACTGGGCAGTAAGCTCTCCCACAGTCCTCAGCTCTTCGACCAAACAGAAGCATTGGTGGCTTCAGTTTGCCAGAATCCACATAGCCCACTAGGTCCAGTTTCTCAGACATTCTAAAGTAAACACAGAAAACTCCACAAGCATCTTATGTTTGGTTTACACACAGTTGTAGAAAAGGAATGGGTGTAAACTTAGTCGAGTTTCAAAGAAAATTAGTACTTAACACCAAATACATGAGTGCCATTGGATAAAGGCGGTTTGACAGACGACTAAAATTCAGGGACATAGATTTTAATCACATAAGAACTAGGGTTGACTTTTCTAGCAAGTGGTAAATGCCAAGCTGCTTTTAATCACTGACTGGATTAGGAGGATTTAGAAATTATATGTATGATAATACCGGGATGTTCCATTCTTAATTGGTTTCTATCAATGTTATATGTTTTATATGTTCATTCTAAAAAAAACAAACCCAAGTAAACATTCTCATGAAAATATCTAAAATGCTCCAAAATTAAGTTGTGATTATTACCTATATTCCATTATGCTAATCTTTTTGATCACATAGAAGTAGTAATTTAACATGAGATGTATTGACTCAGTAAAATAAGCCAACGTCTTTACTTAGTTCACAAGATCTGAGCAGGGCTGCTAATGTTAGGATGTTTCAGATGCCATTAATTCATAAGAGTTAACATAAATTGGAAATGACTTGATGGCATATACATACAAACAATTTGAAATTACATAGTTGTCCTCGATTAGATGGAATAGTTTTGTTTTTTGACAAAACTTTTTTCTGGAATTGCACTGACTCTGTACATAACTCTGAATCCTCATATTAGAGCCAATGTAATGAGGGATGCTTTAAAAGCCCCAGCTGGCTCCAGAATCAAGGCCACATACGTTGAGATGCAGTTCATGATACTATACAGAAGTCTTCCTAACTGAGTGGAGAGACAAGCATAAGAATGTAAACTCATCAGAGAAGTGATTACCTATGAGATTTAATAAGAAGACATCTAGCTACCCTGAGAACGTTATTGAATACTAGGATCTAAACAAGTAAAGTATAATGGTTAGAATCCTATCCAAGATTTAAGTCAGTATCAGTGTCATTCTGCAAACTGCCACTGATTAACAAGTTGCCAGTAAAATCTCTGGTCACACAACAAATCACGCATCTTTGTGCATGGCATGGTGGCTCATTATCGGAGATTGGTTTACACAACTACACTTATGCCTGTGCAATCCCCAATAGGATTCTGACCATTAAAATTTTATGTGGTGATCTAAATGTGATAATTATTTCTGAATTTAAATTTTTATGCTTCTTTGTTTTAGTAAATTTAATATATTGCATCCCAGCAGTAACAATATCAATGAAAGATTAAGTTATCCTTAGTTAAGACAAGAAGATACTCTTGCACATACTTAAGTTACATTGCATAGAAACACTGTTTTGTGACATGAAATCCATAATGCCTGAAAGGTCTGATGGCTCTTTAATATTCAGAATTGCCACAGAATTGATGACACATTAAAAACAATTGGAAACAGCACAATTGCATAGTACTCTGTATATCCAGAATTATTACACATCAGAAAGAAAATACATACAGTTTAAAACAAAAAGTAATAGTAAAAGCTATTCCCTTAAAAGCATGGGAATTCAGACCAGCCAGCCTATGCTTACAACATATTGGTTGTATCATAACTTCCAAGAAGCAACCATCAAGAAGTAGACTACAACATAATCCCACAACCAGCTTCTATAAAGTGTACCACTACAGTTGTAGTTTTCAAAAGCTGAAATGAAATGTGAACTTTGACAGTGTGAGGCCTTACAACTTTGCAATGTAGTTTCTACTCAAAATTACAAAATATTTTCTTATACAATCCAACTGATCCATATTTGGGAAGAGTCAGTGTGATTAATGGACTTAGTCCTAAGTAAGTAGAGGTTTATTTGCTCTAAGAAATCAAAGAGTGGTAGTTGCCTCTTAATGATTATTTGGGGTAAAAGTCAAGACACAAGTAGGGCTTGCCCACACACTCATGTTTTGAATGTGGAAAGAGTGGTTGATCTCTGATCTGGTTCCTTGCTTTGGGGGCACAGCTTCAACCATAATTTCGTATTATACTGTAAGGATTTTCCCCCTTTGGGACATTTCCCTGTTTTTTTAAAATGTAGGAACACAGACATTGATTGTGGGAAAAGAAATACTGTCTTTACTGGACAATGTAAGATAAGAAAAAAAAATTTTAAGTCACCACGAACAATCAATCACAACATAAAACCTTGCATTCACTGTACTAGGACCAATCTTTCCTAAACCTACTAACAGATGAGTTACAGTATATACCAATCTCCTAAAGACAGACCTTATGCTACATAAGGCATTGTTCACATATCTGCCACCCACACGGTTTGGCAATTTATTCTAAGGTCGGTCATCTTCCACCAAAAGCTAGTCCTATTCAAGGAAGGAGAGGATGAGAAAACTACCATTTTAACTCAGCGTTGCCATTCTGCATTGGCCACTTGGATAAAAGGCACAAGCATAAACTTCAGACATTCTGAAGGTGCTTCAGAATCTCCTGAGAAGAGACTGGATCAGAAAACCACAATTTTCAATCCATACCTGACACTCTGCATTGGCTAAACTGGATAAATTGAACAAGTAAGAACTGAAAGCTTTCAGATAGTAGTAAAATGGAGAGAAAGAATTGTAGCATATGTGAATAATCACTACAATGAAAAGGTTTTGGAAAAGACAAAGCACAGTCTCAACTATTTATTTCTGAGGAGCAAAAATGGGGGAAATAACATGGAAAGTTCTCATTAACCATAATAAAGTATTGTGAAGAAAATAATATTTAGGCTGGTGACTTTACCTTCACTAAGCAAATTTAACCCTTCTTGCTTTCCATCACCATCCTGTGAGTGACTTGGATCCAGAGATGTTTGAGAAAGGCTAACATCAGCAGAGAGCTGGTCCAGACTGTGAAAACTCTTTCTGCAAAACGAATGACAATCAGTTCCACTAAATTAACTTCAAATTGTTGTACAACAGAAATAGCAATTATTTTTTATTATAGCAAGTGATATTTTCCTTAATTTATAAAACAGTACCTTCTCAATTTAATCATTCCTGTTAATGTGTTGCACAATAAAATATATATATTGTTACATTCCTGTTAATGTGTTGCACAATAAAATAAAAAGGGTTATATCTAGGTTTAGTAATACTTGGGGTGTTGTAGTGCATTTTCTATAATTATGACTAGTATGGATCCAACCCATTGAAGTTTATGAAGTATTTTATCTTAAATTGCTTGAAGTAAATAAATCTGAATAGACATGTTCCATTGAACACAAGAGAGTCATGGATACAAATCCCAAGGGTATTATGCTGGGAACAAGGACTAAGAATGTATTTATTTTACGTTTTTTAACATCTGTCTGTCTTCACAAGTGCCTGATCCTTCTCCAAGAGAGGAAACCCATTTCTGGGTTTTCTTACCATTTGAGGTAAAGCAGCTGAGTGTGAAGGAAAAGGACTTTTGAGTGGTGATGCTTCCATTTAGTGTACTCTTCTGACACACTGACATTTTTCTGATGTCAGGAGAATAATTCTTTATTTTCCCAGTCTTTGAAAATATTCATGCCTTGTCTATTATTTCATGCCACTTTTATCTTTGCTATTTTAAGCTTTTTTTAATGTATAATTATTTTATTGGGCTAAATCTTGCTGTTAAATAGAGCAAACTCATTGACTCAATCAACTTATATTGGGGTTGACAATGAGTCTTGTGTATTCAATGAACCTACTGTACTTGTAAATTATTTTACATTAAATAAAATTGTTTGATGTAAATACAGTTGTGAATACTTTTTCCATGTGTAGTAACAGCTGTATTTAATCCATAGTGTTTCTAATATTCACTATTAAAGTACTATTTTTACCTCACCCCACAAATCTTAACAGTCAATGAGGCTATGTCACTGCTGAGGAATTCTGATGCTTTTCGAAGTTCATGTCCTGTTTTTCCTTGCAATATTAAGTAGTGCTACTGAAACAATATATATATAAATATTCCCCCACCCCACCCCAAACAGTGTATTCTTGGACTGTCTGCCAACCTGAAACCAGAAAATCTCAGTATTCAAAATGAAAAATGTTTCAGTGTCTTATTCCTAGTCTGAACAACAGTGGATAATCTCATTAAAATAAAAAGACTTGGGGATTTATATACGGTATACATATATTCCCTGCCAAGTAATATAGCCATTGGTTCAGTGGATATACTGTAGCAGAGATGAGCAACTGGAAACTAGCCAAAGTTTCTAGCTGGATCGTATCTCTGAAAGTATGCCAGCCTCTGCCAAGCGGAAGTTTAGAACTCTCCACACATGCTTTGGAGCAGATATTTTCACCAACCCGATTCCTGTCGAAAGCTACAAGAGTGGTTGAACACAGTGGTAAAAACAGTGCTTCAAGATGACTCCTTATGACTATGAACACAGAATCATATAGGAATAACAAGACTTTAGAGTAATTCAAAATACACAAGCCAGTAATAGTGATTCATTTGCACAGTTCATAGATTGTGGAAGATAACTTTCTAAATGGAATGAATTAGGATTAACAACTCACGAACATCACTTGGATTCCATGTTTCTATTCTCAGTTCACAATTTCAGAGGTTATTATCCTGTTTCCCCTAAAATAAGACCTAACCTGAAAATAAGTCCTAGTATGATTTTTCAGGATGCTCGTAACATAAGCCCTACCCCCAAAATAACCCCAGTTAAGTGAAACCCCGCCCTCCACCACTGTGCAGCATTGTGCAGCAAACAGAAGAAGATGACATGACTGTATTTGAATAAACGTAGATTGCTATAAATGAAAAAAAAAAAAACCATCCCCTGAAAATCAGCCCTAACATGTTTTTTGGAGCAAAAATTGATATAAGACCCTGTCATATTTCCAGGGAAACAGGGTACAGGTAATCATGTAAAAGAAATCGACATTTTTGTATGAAGAATGCATCTCACTAGACAGGTTATATCCCCCGTTTCCCTGTATTTCATTCTTATGCCTTTCCTATGACACTCAGAAAAGCAATCTTAATGCCCAGTCTGCATATAACTTCCACCTCACTCCCACCTATTAACAGCCATCATTCTCTTATCTTTACTAACCTGTAGTGCTTTGATAGAACCTCTGGCTTACTGTCCATAACTTAATGTAAGAATCTTGAGTAAGCTGCTGGTATTCATTTAGCCCTGCCAACTGGAATCCACTGGCAGCATTATTTCTTTCCTTGTCATTTTCTGCCCGAGACAGCATTTGCCTTTTCTCTTTTAGTAATGAAATAATTACTTCATGTTGTCAAGTCAGTCTGACTTATGGAAAACCGTTGCTAGGGCTTTCTAAGTATAAAGCATTCAGAAGTGGTTAACTACACCCTTCTTTGGGGGAGCACTCTGGGGATGTTCAGGTTGCCCGCTACATAGACTGACTCTTCTCCTGGAAGGCACAGTGGGGAATCAAACTCTTGACCTCTAGCTTTGCAGCCAAACACCCAGTTCACTGATCTATTCAGCCAAGGCCCTTTGTCTTACACTTTCACAAAACTGTGTGCACCACAGTCGTCCTGGAAGAGGAAAGCCCCCAATCATCTGTTAGTGAAGCAAGATGGCTCTTAAATAACATTGTATTTGTTTGAAACCACCATATGGTCAATTGTAAAAGGAGGATATTAATGTGAAATAAAGCAAAAATAAAATGTAGATTACTTGATGGCAAAGCCAGCTCTGCAGGTTACAGTGTCCACACAGCTCCAAACCAAATTACCTTCACATAATATAAGGCCATCAAGCCATGTGGCATTGTAAGAAAATCTCTAATAAATTACTATGGAACTGAGAAAGATAACTAAATAAAAGGAATACACAAAGTACTTGCCATGAAACAGTAAGGATGGGGTGAGATGCATAAATATATGATATACAGAACAAGACTGGAAATCTATTTTATAATGTGGGGGGTTGAAAAGCATAAATAAGCAACACTATATTGGGAATGAGCGCACACAGAAAGGACCACCATTTGGAAGAATATCAGAACTATTGTTCCTGGGTGGGCAAGCGCCTTTCTCCCCAAAGAGCTTGTAAGTATGTCATTATAATTTCAGTAGAGACAAACATTAAACCAAAACCCAGAAAGGACAAATATTTATTTAAATTATTATGATGCCTATTCATCCTCTGAAATTGCAGATCAAACATTCATCATGACAACACCACACTTTCAAAATGAAAATTATCAAATTTTCTCATGGGGATTTGTACTCTGGGGTGTAGATTACACAGTGGGATCATGCACCCCTCTTTGTTCAGTGTAGGAATTCCATTTCTGTCATGGTTCAGCACTGAACTATTGCCAGCAATCATTGGGGCGGTAACTTTTTAAAGGAATATTGCAAGAAATAGGCAAGAATAGAGGTTGCATATAGGACTATGAAAACTCTGTATCCTACATCCCAAACATAAATATAAACATAATTGTGTACTAGTTAGGAGTATGATACAAATAGAGTAGACAGCTACTTGCCTAATACAGTACAGGCGTACCTCGTTTTACGAAATGAATGTGTCCTTCGGGACATTACGTAATGCAGAGATTTCGTAAAGCGAAATGGATTGCAGTAGGAATCTCCAGGCTCAATGCGTCCTGGGGAAACCCTTTCATGCAGTGGGGGGGGAGGGAAAAACGTAAACCAGGGCATTCTTTTCTATGGATTTTGGTTCATAAACCAAAAATTACGTAAACTGAGGTGTTCGTAAACTGAGGTACTGCTGTACAGTATGCACTGTAAAAAAAATATACATGTCCTCTGGCTCATTTCAAAACTCTTGATTACTGAGCATTTGACTCTCATCCAGTTTTATTTCTCCATCTTTTAATATGACCTAAGATTAAATTTATGTACTATCAAATAAAATAAAGTGCTATCTGGCAGGATGATTTCAATATTTCCTGAAAATGTATGCAAACATTTTGTGTTTGTACACATTCTATAGCTCCTATGCTTGGTTGCAGATGTTTTATTAGGCAGCCATTCTCAATGGGGGCCCTGGCATGTCTGAAGGGGTTCACAGACACCCAGTTCCTCACACACCACCTTGTATGCACTGTAATGTGACTTATACAATCCTGATTTGGCCTATGTTTCTTTCATATTGTATTTCATATTGTGCAATCCAAAAAAAGTTGAGAATATATTGTATAAGGCACTATGTGTTGTTGTTGTTGTTGTTGTGAATGTGTTTTAAGATAAGGATGGTAATGAATATTTAACATAAGTACTTCTAGGCTGCTTAAATATTTAGTATCTACTAGTGTTTTTCACCCCCAAGACCTTAGAACATAATATTCCAGTTGACAAGATGCAGGGGGGAAAGTAAGATCTCTGTGATTTTAGGAGCACTGCACAAATATTTCAACTTACTCATCCCACTGCTTATTTTGCTTTCGATAAAGTAGCGTATCCAAGGCAACAGCATTAACATCCAGAGCTCCTGGGGAAGGCCACTGATTGGTGAGATGGGTAGTTAATTCTTGTCTTGATCTTAAATCATTATTCTTTAGCACAGTTCTGTGAACACACAGTGAATTTCATGCAGTTAGAAGTAATGTCTTAAATCACAGGAAGAAAATAGGCTTGTACTTGGAGCTGCTAGCACACTATTAAAGCATTTTCCCCCAGGAGAGACTTCACAATCAAAAATTTAGTACTGAAGAACAAAACTAAAAACCACATGGAACTGCACTGTGGGACACTTTCATAGATCATCTGATCTTGTATGATGTAGTGAATGGAGAATAATATGGGGTGGGGAGGAATTAAATACTACTTCTAAAATGACTAACACATTTGATTCTCAGTTAGCAAACACTGTAATTTCTCAGTGCCTATTTCACATCTATACTGAACTGGAGAAATAGTCTAGTTTTATATTGGGGAAAAACCAAATACTAAGCTGTTAAACAACTAGATTTGCCTATACGGGTGGTCTGAAGGAGAATCCGTAACAAAGTGCAATCCTTCAGATTTCTTTCAAGTACAAGAACAAATTTCAAAATTTATAAAACAGCTTTTAATAACTGCATTCCGAATGAAGTATTTATTCTTTCATCTCAAAAAGAGAAACCAAAGAATTGAAAATATTTATTTATTTATTTATTTATTGGACTTATATACCGCCCCATAGCGCTACAAGCACTCTCCGGGCGGTTTACAATTTTAATTATAAAGGGTACACATTGCCCCCCCAGCAAGCTGGGTACTCTTTCATATTAATTTCTGCAGTGAAGCCAACACTTATAATGAACCTTTCCATGCAGTTGCTTACAACAAACTGAACATTTTGATCACCTAGTGCTTTTCCTTCACAACAACAAAATATGTTATTTCTTCTAACCAGGTTTGTTACATTGCACTATGAAATTTTATTCCTGCAAAGAAAAATGCTATACATTGGATTTGTTGGGTGTTGGTATATTATATATAATCTTCCAGTGTATTAATTATGCTTATATAAAACCAGTCCAGAACAGCAAAAGCAATCTATAAGAGTAAAAGTGATAGGGAGGGGGCAGTTTTACAATTCTAAACTCTCATAGTCAAGAGAGTTACAGAGAAAATGTCCTTTTACTAATTTCAAAACCAGATATGCTTCACAATAGCTTCACATATCTTCCAGATGCATAAATTTGGGACTGTTTATAATAACAGCACAGCTACAGCTTGTTTACTTACCAGTACTATGAATTCTCCTATTGGATAATCTCCTTCACATATCCCCTCTCTATGGAATGAGTTGTCAGCACCACCTTGATGACTCAAATCTGTTGGAATTTCAAATGTCATGGATGTGAGCCCGTGCAATGATGCATGTGGTGTGTTATTTGCCTTCTAACTACATGTTAGTAGAGTGTCAGAATCCCCAAATAGCAAACCAACAGAAAAAAACCCAATGCAATGAGGAAACTGGAAACTGAATGTGGATTTATGGAGGAGATAACAATAGCAGAATTCTAGTAACTGACATGCAACCTGGTTTTTCTGTTGGTCATGGCATTTCCCACAACTGACCCTTTGGAATTATCTCCCCAAAGGACAGAAAAGTTTTTTAAGGCATGGAGAAATAACTAGCCCCATTAGATTTTCAATTAGAAGACAGTGATAAAGATGCAAAATTGAAGTCAACCGATGAAATAATTTCTATATGTTTTGGTAGGCTCTCCAAACATTGCTTGAAAATATCAGATATTTTTTTCCTAGACTACCACAGGAAAGAAACCACTTTTCACACTAATTCAACAAGGCTAATTTTGAAAGTTAGATACAGATTACACAAACTTTGGTACATCCCAAATCTACATTTCAAAGTATTTTACCAAATACAGTACATTTTTGTTTCTTTGTGTGATGAGAGTTATGCTGCCAGAAATCAAGAAAACCAGCCTGACAATGCATCTTCTACACAAAGAAAGCCCTCCTGAATTGAATCAGGTTACCGGGTCTTTATTTAGCCTTAGACATTTTCATATATTAACAAATATAAATATAAAGTAATACACAGCTAGAAAATGGTACTGGTATCTTGCATCACTTAACAGTAATAATAAATAATTGTTTTCACATACCATTAAGCTAGTAGTAACTATAAATATTTTAGAAAAAATAAACATATGTGTAATACTAAGAGTTTCTAACTATTTACCACTTAAAGTCCCATCTTACAGCTATGTTAAAATGCCATGTTATACTGGATATGCGTTTTCTTATTCCTCTTCTACCAGAAGTTGAACATCAGCATGGATATTCTAACCACGCATATGGCAGCTCTAAACTTGCATGTTGCATCCAAACCAGTCTCTAAGGTTTTTAAGCTAAAAAGGGTTTTGTGCACATTTTTCCCATTTATTTTACCATCGACTGATCAGTTATAACAATCAGTATTTTTAATTTTTTTTCATGACTATTCTATTTTTCTATATTTTATGTGTTTTATGATTCCGTGGTCTTCATTGATTTACCTTAGCACTTTCTATTGAGCTAAGAAATTCTTAGCAACTGATGCTAAAACCAGATTTCAAATGCTTTCCCCCCCCCAGTAGCCCCATGTTCAAGTCCACATTTCCATGCCATGCAACTAAAAATACATAGGACTGGACAATGTGCCTTTTCAAAGCCAATATTACATTTCTGTTACAGATTACATTCTTTATCTTTAAGAAGATGCTCAGACCATCTGTATCCTGACTTTTACTGCACAGCTATTATCCCATTTAACCAAACTCCAAGTTAGAGATGGGGGTATTCCTATATGAATACAACTATCCCTGCACAGGTGGTGATAACGAGGGTCCAGCCCCACGGGGCTGGAAGGTCCACTCACAATTCTGCTGCCGCCAGAGATCCAGGACCCTTCCTATCACTCCGGAGCTTGCGATCTGTGAGCTACTCTTCGACCTATAAGAGAGGATTGTTATCCCGATCGCAAGCTCCGGAGCGATACGAAGGATCCCAGAGCTTGCGACAGTGGCAGAACTGTGAGTGGACCCTCGTCCACTCTGTGCAGGGGTATTCATATACAAATACGAATACCCCCATCTCTAGTCCAAGTTATTTAGATTTGTTATCATGCTCCACATCTTAATTTTGAATTTGCTTTTATCTTGTGCAGCCTGCTTTTCATGGATTACAAACATATCCAAAGGTTAAGTTGTGGGGTTTTATTATTACAACTTACATGTTAAAACAAATAATGTTATCAAATAATGAGTCATTCCAATCACATTTCATTTTAAAATGAGAGTCTCGAGTTTTTATCGCACTAAAATTTGTGTTTACTATGGTTAAACACTGACCACATCTCTGTGACCAAGAAACCAAATGAAAACAAGTGGCAGTAAAGGCATTTAGTGTATAAAAACAAATACAATGAAGAAAACAAAACAAATTGAAACCATAAGTAAAAACACATCAATAAAAAGAGAATATCATCACACCAAAGTAAGTCAAAGCTCCCCTCAGGAAAAGCACAGCTTAAATAACAAAGGCTGAAGCCTTATTTGATTTTAAAAACCTCCAACAGAGAAATGAAAGCCTCAATTTATTCAAATGTCATGAGATTTAACGGGTAATTGCAGAAAGCAAAGTCGCGGGTAGGGTGCAGAAGAAACTGGAACACATGCTTACAGTAAAATACTGGATTTCAAATAAACATTACACAGTCAGGGTTAATATAAGCAACCACCAGCCCATACTGGGGCCTGCTTTTCATATCTAATTCATTATTCAATTTCAAATAAAACAAAAGAGGTACTGATTATGCATTCCTAATAGATGATAGCATACATAACTTCAGCTAAGCACCTATTTCACTTATAAAATGTTTTCTTCTCTCAATGAAATTTTCAGGCACTTTAAAAGTTATGAGTTTGGCAAATAGCCATTTGCAGATACTACCAGCTCTTCCACATTCATTCTTTAATAACTTAAGATTTCAAACCTCAGGTTATTCAGTTAAGGAAAACCGGAGATACTGAAATATATGACAATTATGTTATCAGCTGATTAGCCCTTTTGCTATTTCAACAAAATTGCTAACATACCACTCTGAATATTTAAAATGTTCATTAATATTAGACAATGGCCAGTATCTTCTTCCAGAGCTCTTCCATGCCCCCCCCCCATTTCGAGGTGCACACAACTTATATGCAATGAGATGAAGTCACATGCACTCCCAAATTGAGAAATACACTCTGCTGTTGAAATTGAGAAATACACTCTGCTGTTGAAATTATTTTCTCTGCACCTACATATTAAGGGCCAGGACATTACTGAGAAGAACAGTATCAAAACCTTATTTTGCTAATTATTCATCAATCTTCTAGATATAGAATATGATTTAGAACCACTGTAATAGCAATTATATTTTCATATGAATAAATTAACTTTACCTAAAAGGAAAGTAAATGATAAAATTAAGTATAAGCCCTAAACTGTAACCAAAGCCATCTATCTGTATGACTAAATTTCATCTTAATTATGGCCAGTTATGGCCAGTATAGAATATTATGAGTTCTACTGTGAGACATCTACCTGTCTTTATGTCTACATTTAGATGAAAAAGTGCCACAACAAAATGGATAACAGACAAGAATAAATGCATTCTTTAAACAGTTTTAATAAATACAAATTTTTAACAGCTGTTCCAGACTACTAAATTTCTTGCCACTAAATTACATTTATATAGAAACACATCACCTCTTGTAGCATTTTAAAGACTAAAACATTTTTCATGGCACAAACAAACAGACTGCAGTCTACATCATCAGACGCATGAAGCAGTATGAAATGGACTGCAGACCATGAAATTGATAGGATAATAAATATTTTAAATCTTTCAAGTACCACACCAGTCTGTTGGTATTTGAAAGATGTTCTGGGGAAGAGACAGATGTGGGTAGCTTCTAGAAAGAGTTCCAAACTACATGTGCTCATGCCTATGATGCAAACTTTGACAATTGATATTTAAGGATTTCTTTATAATTTTTTTTATTATGATAATACACAAGTTTAGAAAATGAAAGATAAAGTGTTTCTGTTGTCACATTTGAGTTCAAAGGTGCCTTTCTATGAACTTCTATGAACTAAATAACTCATTCCATGAACTGAATGGATGCAATGGACACTTCCATGACTGGACAAGGTTTGAAGGCATATTTCTCCTTTATTTTGCAGATTGTGTCCCAAGTGTTTTGCAGGTCTCTCCAACTCACCCAAACAGATGTTCAGGGACAGTAGAGGCCAGTAACACCCTCTTTCATTTTTAGACTTGACTTATGGAACTCAAACCCATAGAACTTTTTGTTTGTATGGGTAAGGCTCACATGGAATACTTGACTTATGGAACTCAAACCCATAGACCTTTTTGTTTGTATGGGAAAGGCTCACATAGCAATAAGCATCAGAGAACTCAGTGAGACTTCTTTCTAAGCAGACACATATAAGATTGCATGATGAAATATCAGTATTTCGTGCCATGTAAAACAGTGTAATCAATTATGCTGTGCAAAGGTGAGATGAGGCTCTCCAACACACCTATTGCAGCCTCCAATACTGTTGCGTTTTTTCAGCATAAGAATTACCATATTTTTCCGTGTATAAGACTATACTTTTGTCTAAAAATTGAGGGTTGTCTTATACATGGAAGTAAGCTCAGGAGAGTACAAAAACAAGTGGAAGGGAAAGCAGGGATCAAAGCGATCCTGCAGCGCTTAGATCCCTTTCCCCCTACACTTACTAAGCCTCACTAAGATTTCTTAATTTTGGGTTAGAAAAGTGGGGGGTGGCGTCTTATACATGGAAAAATATGGTAAGTTGCAGCCTTATTCACCTTTTAAATAGTTAAAAGCCCAAAATAGCATCCCAAAATACCCATTTTCAAAACTTAATGTGGTCTTCTACCACCCACTTCTAGTTGTTTGATTTGGTTGGCTAGTTTTTCTCCCCCCCCCCTTTCTTTCTTGAAATTTCTTGTGGTCTGTTTAGATTTTGTTTTTCATTTTAGAAACTATTCAGCTTTGTGTGCGCGCGCACGCACACACACACATGCGCACACATGTGTGCTTTTGGCATTTTTGTGGAAGTTCACAAGCTCCTACTTGTTGCTTGAATAATTTAATATTTTCTTCCCAAGAAGCCAAAGGCAAGATCTCAAGAACGGCACAATTAGAACAGCTTTAACTTTCTATACTCCTGCCAACCTAGCAGTTCGAAAGCATGTAAAAATGTGAGTAGATAAATAGGTACCACCTTGGTGGGAAGGTAACGCGTTCTGTGTCTAGTTGCGCTGGCCACGTGACCACGGAAACTGTCTTCAGACAAACGCTGGCTCTATGGCTTGGAAACGGGGTTGAGCACTGCCCCCTAGAGTCGGACACCACTGGACTAAATATCAAAGGGAACCTTTACCTTTACCTAACTTTCTATAAGAATCACAATATAGAATTGTGTGAAGTTGTATACCCACACTGCAGAACATGAATTTCTTAGTGTAAGGAGACACCTCATTCTGATTACTACACACTTAAGTGAAGCATTTGAAAGGCACTGAGGTATGTTCAGTCTAACAACTGACATTTGTTTAAAAAAATCAGAAATGTAATAGATAGGAGAGCCTAATTTACCCTTCCATTAATTTAAAAGGAATACTATTAAAAGACAGAGAAGACCATAATTCATGCTTGTCAGAGAGCTTTAGCTCTGCAGCTAGCCTAAAACATACACTACTTTTATCTCAGGCACATATTTAGGAAGTTGAGATAGCTATGCTTCCATTTTGTATGTTCATCTGATACAAAGAAAGATGCAACTTTGGAATGAGGAACTAAACTGATATAGCAATTAGTAGCCGGCATGACTGGATTGGATTTGGGATGTGAGCCATCATTCTTAGTTTACCAGAACAGAAAACAGGTTCCATGCAACAAACCAATAGGTTTAGGTAAAAACACAATTTTTTCAAAGAGCATGTTCCTAGACATTACAGTTAGACATATGTTTGAAAATGTGCACACAATAATCATGACAGAGCAAGAACGATCTGCACATGTATCTATTATGAAAGGCATGAAAGAAACTGCTACACTTGAGATAATCAGGTTTATTCAATGCTGAGTGAATAGCGCTCAACTTCCGGCTCTTCCTACACTTCTACTTCCTTAGATTAGGACAAACATCTATAACGTTTGTGTTTGACACTTCTAGGTAAATTTCCAGTCCTTCCATTTCAATCTGGTCTTCTCCATTTTTGCCAATTTACTCAAACCTCCCATATGAAAAAGTTGAATGGTCTTCATATAAAAACAAAACCTGAAATTCTAAAATATTAAAGTTGTGTATATTTATTTAAACCAAAGATTTGCACGCATATTGTGCTTACTTGCCTGAATATATATAGTAATACCTATAAAACATTGGTGTTTATCTCTAAATACAGTGGACCCTCTACTTCCAGAATTAATCCGTATTGGAACAGTGGCTGCAGGTCGAAAAGTCTGTTGGTCAAGTCTCCATTGACCTACAATGCACTGAAAACCGATTAACCCTGTAACTAGCCGTTTTCGTTCCATTTTTGTACCATTTTGGTTTTTTTCTGGTCTGTAGGTCGATTCTCCGGCTGCAAGTTGAATCTAGATTTTGCAGCCAGAGAAGTCTGTAACTCGAAAAGTCTGTAAGTTGAGCCGTCTGTAAGTTGAGGGTCCACTGTACAGTGGACATACTCAAACATAAGGATAAGCCTGAACATCTGGAAAACTCACTCTGTTGGCTGAAATCCAACAGTAAGTTGCAATTAGAGTAGGCTCACTGAATCAGTGGGAATTTGGTGTGTAGACACTTATGTAAAAGCCACTGATTCAATGGGCCTCCTCTAGATTCAACCTACTACTGGATTTTAACCACTGAATAAAGAGCACTGTGCAGGAGCAGCTAAATTAATCAATTATGTCATCGTGAAGAAGTCAGTACTCTGTTTTTTTCCCCTCTCTACAAGCCAAAGAAAGAAATCAATGAATAAATCCTGTATTGTTTATCCAGCTCATGGGGCAAACAAGCCAGGGAGTCCTATCATGTTTAGATTACAGAATAAATAAGCTACACAGGAAAACTGGGGGGGGGGAATAATTTAGTTTTCTCATTCAAACATAAGCAATTTGTATTTTGAGAGCCATGATTCCTGTGTTATCTGGCTTACCACTGCACACTAATATAGTAACATTCTAAAGTAATATAAAAAAACTTATAAAAATCCATTTAACTTTGGCTGTTTCTAAGGAACAGATTTATTTAGTCAAAAAACTAGGATAAAATCAGCATAATTTAGTTTGACAATATTTGGCCAATATGTGTCATTCCAGACAAAGTTCTGAAAATAACCAAAACAATACATTTCACACTGTACCAAAGAAAGAAAGAAAGAAAGGAAAGAAAGAAAGATCTATCCCTGTGGCTTCTATGTAAATGCCATTCACAAAGTTCCAATATGCTACACTTCTTAGTGTGTTTACTATGTATAAAGACTGAAAAGGGGGGTTTAGAGATACTTTTATCAATGTCAATGTACCCTTTCCACACAAATCACTATCTGAAATCACAGTAACTCGCTGGAACGTCTGAGGCATATGATAGTATATGTTTAGTTTATCATTAGTACTGTATTTTGTTAATCGTAGACAGAGTTCCACTTGAAGACTTACATCAGAAGAGTTCTGAACAACTATATTATTTTAAAAGGATTTGCAAGCAATTGGAATTTCAGTTTTCATAAGTAAATTACATTTATTTCTTCAATATTTAAACTGTATTTGTTTCTACAGGGACCCCCAAAACAAGACACTTGTGTTCAAGAACATTATTTTCCCAGGAAAATTACTGCAATGCATCCAACTTACAGCTGATCCTGCAGTTCCACAATGATGTACTCAAGCTGTTCCTTTTCCATTTTATGGGTGAGATCCATAGCTTCTATCTTCTGACGTAACAGCTTTTTCTGAGAAATGGATTCAGTCAACTGGGTCTCTCTAAGACGTACCAGCTCTTCTAGATAACCCTAGAAACACATTTATGTACTGTAGTATAAAACTTGCAAATTAAGCAACCAATGTTCTATTTATTTTTATTATACTGATAAGCCTCCTAGCATTTGGAACTAGATGACATGGACAACACTTAGAATGTGAAAAGTAGTTCAAAACCCAGACTTCTTATGAATAAGGAGCAGCAGTTCATTTAGTAGTTACCAATGCAGTCATACAGATAGGTTTCCACAGCTGAACTAGGTTTTTGGTTACCCCCACCCCCAAACTCTAACCATATGCCGAGGGAGTGTGGCACCCACCTTCCTGTTCAACTTAAAACTCCAGTTCCTTCTGCAGTTATAAGGAAATGAAAGCAGATGCCAGGAGTAATAGAACTTCCAGTGGCAATGATGCAAGTAGTGAGATGCCAAAGAACTTAGCACATCCCCTTCTAAAAGAGGCATGCAGCCAAGCCAATAATAATAGACAAATGTTGAGGATGAAGACTAGATGGCAGCACAGCAGAAATCACAGGACAGCTCCCTGGCTGGAATAAACCTCACTTCTGGAGGACAGAGCTTCACCAGTTGGTAACAAAAGGTATATAACTCAGAGCTCAGAGTAGACACATTCTAGATGGGCGGTATATAAATCTAATAAAGAAATAGAATAAATTAATATATAGGCAAAGAAAATCATCATAAGGATACTGGGCAGAAGCCAGATTTCTTTCTTTAAACACTATTAAGTGCAGTTGTATGCACTGTCCAGATATGACAGCATCCAGTGAACATACAGAATACAGTGGCGCACCACTTGACGACAACCCCGCTTGACGACGAAATCGCTTGACAATGATTTTTTGTGATCGCTATAGTGATCGCAAAACGATGGTTCCTATGGGTTTTTTTCGCTTTACGTCGATTAGATGCCTGCTTCACAAACCGTCTGTTCGCAAAACGATGTTTTTTCCAGCTCCGCAAAATGGCTTCCTTCCCTTCACAAAATGGCTGTTTTCCGGACAGAAGCTTCGGAAGACAGCGATTTTAAACAGCTGATCGGCGGTTCTCTATGGGCAATCTTTGCTGGACAATGAGGTATTTCCCCATTGGAATGCATTAACCAGTTTTCAATGCATTCCAATGGTTTTTGTTTTTTTTCACTTGACGACGGTTTCGCTTAATAGCAATTTTCCTGGAATGGATTTTTGTCGTCAAGCGGGGCACCACTGTATGCACTGATGACTCCAAGAGTGTGGGTAGATTAGGTGGTATTCTAAATATGATGGACACAGGACACTGCTTCAGGGCAAAATAAAATATATAGTCTCAGGGATAAAGCTTCCATACAAATTGCTATTGAGTAGACTTTAGATGATGGGACAGGCAAAGCTCCCTTCATAAAGAGTAACATAAAGTCCTGCATTCTGGCATACACCTGTCTCCTGCATACAGTTTTCAATTTGACTGCAAATTTGATGAATGCATTCCATTTGGCTGCAGATGCAGCCTCATTGGGCCACTTACGGGCTGTTTCAATTCCAAGACAGCAGATCCATTTGAGAAGGCAAGCAGTGGAAAGATCGGTCCAAGACTAACATTCGACTTCAGGCTAAGGCAGTTGGGCCACTGGGGGATAGTATTCAGTGCACTTAGTCAGAAGCAATTACCTTTGTGTATATAAGATGCAAGACTGCAGAAAATATATGGAGGAACAACTCCAAGCACCAGTAACCGGAAGCTGTCTAAGCATTTCTGCTCCATTCTTTCCCTGCTGCAATATAGGCTGCACCGTTTTATTACATGTGGCAAACATATCCACAAACGGGGTACAAAACAAAGCAAACAACAACTTGTGTTCAGTTGTGGCTGTACTGAGTTCTGCAACTCAGCAGATCTACCCAAAATTTGTTGTCACAAAAAACAACAACCCAAGATGACTTTGAAATGGAGTTACCTTGTGTAAAACACACTGTTCTAAAAATGTAGACCCAAAGTAGGTACAAAACTACACACCATTTGCTTGTTCACATAAGATACAGAAATCATCCTGTCAATTACAGCCTGGAGTATTCTGCTGTTGACAGAACAGTAGAAGACACAGAACTGTTGGCGATTGCAAATAATTCTGATGCCTTTATATGGAGTTATCTCAGAAGGAAACCAGGCAACCTGAAGTATGCTCCCCAACTAACCACAACATCTATGGTCTAACCACTTTGTACTTCAAGGAACTTGGCAATTTAAAAAGAATTATAAGTTACTGCAAACTACATTTAACTCATACTTTTCAGTAGAAAATTTAAGTAATTTTGAAATATACATAGCATTTCTTTCTCTTTTAGCAAGTCATCTCTCCATACTTTCCATCTAAAAAAAAATTCACATTAATTTCAAACAAAATAGTTCTTTCCAAGAAGAAAAAAAATTACGTAAAATCAAGTCTCTAAATTTCCCAAGCATTTTCAATCCCTTTCAATTAAAAGACTGTACCTTTTGCTCCAGCGTGAGTCGATATTTCTGTTCCACCCGTTTACATTTGTTGTACCAGCTGTTCTCACCAATGTTGAAAGGAGGGCCAATATTTTCTGGAGTACTGCTTTCACTGCCGCTACTGCCCAGGGTTCTCAGTTCTTCTTCATCACTACTGATACTGTCAGAACTAAGGAACCAAATTTGAAAGATTTTTTTAAAAAAATTCTGCTGAAAACATCTATATTGCAGTAGAAATTCACAACTACTATCCTAAAATAAGGATGGCTATAATCAAGAATGTAGAGATACTGGCGTAGGTGGACCAGCCAAGTTCTCTCCTTTTTCAAAAATACCAGAAACTAGAACTTCTGGATAGCTCAAAGGTTTAGGTCTCTGCTGCAGAGCCAGAGACTGGGAGTTGGATTCCCCACTGGGCCTCTTTGACATAGGCTGGACTCAGTGATGCATAGGGTCCCTTCTAGTTCTGCAGTTCTAGGATGATGATGATAATGATTAGCTAGTGCACAATTTTTGTGTCAAAGAAACACATAATTTTAAGGAGACTTGCAATCAAAATGTCGAAGATGTACATAGCACTTCCTTCAAGAATTATAAACTTTCAGCCCAACTCCAGTTGAATAAATTAACCCTGTGTAAAACTGATGATATCACTGGCAAGAGCAGACTGCAAGTAATTAAAGAGTTCTGACTCATCTGCAATGAGATTGACTGCAGACAAGCTGTGCACAAATTGGTCAACCTTTGGGACTGAAGCAGGAATTCTTTAATTACCAGAAATCTCCCTCTGCTGGTCACACTACCCCAATGAAGTAGTACCTTACTCAAAAGGACCTGGACCTCTGCTTAACAAAGACTTTTGTCTTCAGACTACAAAGCAGACTTTGAAAAGGAACTTCTGAGATTACTTCTTATCCCTCAGATTTTTTTATACCTTTCAGAGATAAAGCACTAAAAGCTGCTTTCAAATGGAAGCATCCTGGCTCTATTGATCGTTCCACTTATAAGCTGCAGGTCAATGGAGACTTGACTTACAGACTTTTTGACTTGAGAACCGCCTTCCAATACGGATTAAGTTCTCAAGTCAAGACCCCACTGTACCTTACTCAAAAGGGCCCGGACCTCCGCTTAATAAAGACTTTTGTCTTCAGACTACAAAGCAGACTTTGAAAAGGAACTTCTGAGATTACTTCTTATCCCTCAGATTTTTTTATACCTTTCAGAGATAAAGCACTAAAAGCTGCTTTCAAATGGAAGCATCCTGGCTCTATTGATCGTTCCACTTATAAGCTGCAATAGGAAATGCAATTGATTTCTGGCACTAATAAATCCATGTTTTCCTATATATACCTCTCACACTGTGTCCAAGTGTGACACAGCTATTGCAGTAAGGTACGGGAAAGGTTCAATTCACCTAAGTAGCCACTTAAAACAAACCTGAGTGACCCTTTGAAAAAACAAGTTCTTTAAGAGCACTAGAACTACTACTGGTTTAAGCAAAACTGGTTTATCACTGCAGTGAATATCAAAATACAAAGTGATCTGCGTTTGCTTCAGTTCAGACATGGAAATAAGAAATGTCTTATTGCAAAAAATGTTTTAATCAGTTTGAATGGGAGGAATCCTTGACCCCATCAGTCATTTTCAGGACAGCAGTCTCTTTTTCTCTTCACACATTTAAATGAAGTAAATTGATTTTTAAAATGGTTTTTTAAAAATCATACTATAGCATTATTTCATTTAAACAGTATATGGCATTTCAAGGAAGCTTTTATTTGCTGTCATCAAGTATCCAGTTGGTAATAGTGGAACAAAGTTCTGGATGAGACAGGGATTTGGTCTCATACAGCAGAATGGTTTTCCTATTAATGCTCTACAATTTGTTGCATGATTTATACCCACAGAAAGGTGAGAATATCACTAGCAGAGGGAGATTTTTTAGTAATTAAGGACTGTTACATACAGCACTGATGTTACCTGTCTGTCATGGGTTTGGAGGGAAAGTTCCATCCTATGGAGAGTGGAAGGCGGGACATCAGGAGGAGGGGCTGTACTGTATAAATATGTGATGCCTGTGTGGTGAGAGAGAGATGCTGAGAGACGCTGAGAGACACTGGGATGTGACGAAGCAGCAGCTGGGAAGAAGGAGCTGTTGTGGGAGTCTGTGTGTCAGACAGGGTACTTCTGTGTGTCAGAGTACCAACCTGATAGGTTCAGGTGTCTGTTGGTTAGCCAGAACTGATAGGTTCAGGGTCTGTGCTTCAAGTTAAGGGTTCTGTGTGAACCAAACTGTATGCATGTATGAGTGAGAATAAGCCACGTTACTTTATCCTATTCACCTGATTGTTTATTTTTCCCTGTGTGTATTTAAATAAACCTTATTCTTTTTATTGTTTAAAAATCCATCCCTGGTCTGTGTGACTTCTTAAAGGGAATGGTTGGTGGCAGCTTAGTAAACTGTGTGACAGATCACAGTAGGTCTGGGTTTGTCACAAGGACTTCCTCCTTCTGTCTTGTGGTTTGTCTGACTTGTGAGTACTCTGTTTCATTGTGTGGAAGCTATGGGAGCTGCAGGACTTTAATTAATGGAAATCTTCCCTTGCAGCTTGCCCAGGGCTACACAGGCTGTCTGCCCCCCCCCCCGGGCAGCAAAGTGGGAAAATGAATTCCAAGCCCCAGCTCCATAGCCAGGCACTCCAACTCACTGAACCCACACTATTCAAGTGTTTATTGGTTATGAATTTTTCTTACAGTAGAATTATACATGATCTGTTCAGAGGATTTAATCTTGGTATATCAATGCCCCTTTTTTAGTAACAAGAGTAATTTTTTCTTGGTTTTATATATTAATGCTAAGAGCTTGAAAAACTTACATGATAGCGCTCTAAGTGGTTTATTTTCTTTAATTTGTACATCAGAACAAACCCTCCTCAGCTTGTCAGCTTTCCTATACATTTGTTTAAAAGCAGTTTGCTGTCTTTTTGATGTTAAGTGAGAGAATGGGTTCATTTACTATTTGTACAAACTAATCTTATTCCAAACATGTTTCAACAAGGCTAGACCTTCAAATTTATATTTCAACACTGGCTTCAATTTAAAACTTTATTTCTTTTTAGGTCAGAAATTCATGAAGCTAGAATAAATGCAATATAACAAGTAAGCACATTAATCTGATCACCAAGCAGAAGTGTTCCAACAGACTGGAAGCTCATTTAGCCTGCTACAGCTAAAATTTAAATCCAGGACAGATAGTACCTCTGAGTGAACTTCAGGTACGGTGTGTAGTCTATCACTGCTGGATAGTTGCCATCCAAACCTTCACCCTTGAGGCAGAAGCTGACACAATGTGAGAAATTAGTAACCGTTTACACCAAGAAAATTAGGCGGCACTAACACTGAATAATCTTAGCATATAATTTGATTTTCTTTAGCAAAACTGCCACTATAAAAGTCAGAGCAATTTTCAGTAAATAAAAAGTCAGGCTCAAATGCTGATTATTAAAATTCAGTAACAACTGTTTTCCTGGCAAGGAATATGTCATTTTTTTAACCAACTACTTTTATATATACTGACCTTCCATGCTGTATAACACAATTCAACACACTCAAGGGAAAAAAAGTGAAAGTAACTGATTTTGTCCTCCTCTAAAGGTAATACTGAAAAGAAATAATAAGAAAAGCAGTGTTCCTTTTAAACACAGTTTGCAGGTCCTTAGCCAGAGCTTTTCTTGATGCAAGACAACTATGATTAGAACTTTCTGACACTAGCATAGTGTGGGTACGGCCACAGGGATGGCTGCCCTGGGCACATCATCTTTAGGGGCACAAAATTTCAGCCCTGCCGTGGAGCCGTCTGGCGAAGCACAGCACACAAGCTGAAGCTCCCTTCTTCTGGCTGCAGCTGCCTCTCTCGCTCCATTTCCTCCTTTGGGCAAGGGGTGGTAGTTGGGTTTGGCCAAGTGGACCCACCTCCTTGGAGAGGGTGGCCTGGAAGGCAAAGGGCGCCCCAGAGCATCCCAACCTCCCTCCACTCACATAAACAAAGTGGGCTGGCGGGTCAAAGGGAGGGGGCTCTGCCAGTGCCAAGCCCCCTCCCCTGCCACTTCCCAAGGTGACTTCAAGGGGGCGCAATACTTGCCTTGCTTCTGGATGCTGGCAACCCTTGCTATGCCACTGCTTTCTGAACAAACCTCAGGATCATATGCTTCCTTTCCCTCTTTCTCTTCCGGTCCACCCAGAGGATAACTTTAATTTTCAGACTGAAATTTACCAGAACTCATTGCTATTTCACTCATTGTTATTGCAGGAACTGTGATTAATTTACAATCCTGATTTAACTACCTCTTAATAAGTGCCCTGAGACCAAACATAAAACAAGGAGTGGTGGTAAGCATAGACTGCATCTGTGAAGATTCTGAGTTATCCTGGTGAGGTTATATGGAAGTTGAGTCATGACAAATGTACTTCTTTCTTGTTGAAAGGTTTGGCTACTCATCCAAGTAGCTTCTTCAGTCTGAAGAGAGTTGCTAGGAGATCCCTCATATATCCTTCATGTTGTTTTCACTTCCCCTTGTTCTCAATAGGCTCATTAGAAGGACAAAAGACTGGTGATGAGGGATAATTCCACTTCTGCAGTCCTTCTCCACCTCCTCAGACTGAAAAATCTACTTGGATGAGTAGCAAAACATTTCAACCTAACAAAGAAGTCCGGTTGCCATGACTCAAGTTCTGCATAGACTGTGTAGCACGCACTGTTGATCTCTTAATTTCTATGGCAAAGAGGAAGAGAATATGCAAGCCTAAGGCTCATGAAGGCTGATTCATATAGTGCTGTTAAACTACAACTGGATTATGTCTAAACATACAGCAATTACCATTTTAAAAACGATATTGAAGGGCCTATAACAAACAGACAAAATCAAAACATCACCTGATAAGTTAGAACAGTCTACACTCATTCATCAAACCCAACTTCCTAAACTTGAGTGACTTAGGAAGCAATCCCTCCTATTTTTATGTTACACTTACAATATTTATCATGTTCTCATACTAGAATAATTCAGTCAAGCTTTATAACATGCTCCTTCACAGAATAAATGAAATTATAACAAGACAAAAATAGTGTGGATTAATGTTTGTGTGGCAAACAACGTGACCTGATGTACGGACCATAAGAAAAAGATGCTTATTGTATTAAGGTATTATGTTGCTGGTACCTTAAGTTCCATGACAAATTCTTAAAGTCTACTCACAATTTATGTGCTCTACCATACAATACAAAAAAAAATGAACGTAGTCCAGTAATTGTCTAGGTTATACAACTTAATTTTAGGCTCTCGTCAGGGCACATGCCAGCAAAGCAACTAAAAACATTTTCTTTAATAATATTAGACAAAATAAGCTTATAGCCTTTAAGAATACAGTGGACCCTCGATTTACAGATGGCTCGACTTACAGACTTTTCGAGTTACAGACTTCTCTGGCCGCAAAATTTAGGTTCAACTTGCAGCCTGAGAATCGACCTACAGACCAGAAAAAAACCAAAATGGAACAAAAACGGCTGGTTATGACATTAATTGGTTTTCAATGCATTGTAGGTCAATGGAGACTCAACCTGCAGACTTTTCGACCTGCAGCCACCATTCCAATACGGAGTAATTCCGTAAGTAGAGGGTCCACTGTAATTCCAAACACCAAGTCCTACAATAAAATATTATGTAATTACACATTAGTATGTGAATTACATTTTTAAAATTTAATAACATTGTACCATATAAGTTATTTAAATCCACATTGGTAAGAAGGATACCTGAAATCTATAGCATTGAGTCCAAGCAGCATGCCAGCAAGCATGTTTGCTTCTTCTCCAAGTACAATAGCGCCATCTTCATAGAATCTCCTGTACAGAGATATCAGTTCAAATATTCTCAGTCATTTATTCTGATGTAATAACAAAGTTTCTAAAGGTGAACAAAATTATTAATACTAACAATTAGTAATTTCATATTTACAAAATTGACACAACTATTTAAATGATACTTAGACAAATGGAATATCTAGCTCTAGATATTTCAAAATTACTGTTAATATGTTTGGATTGGAAATATTGAAATATAGACGTAAGTTTATATGGCTGTAATCTAGCAAGCTACTCAGGTACCATACTTCTAGGCACCAATCTAAACATAACCAAAGCAACACCTTTTTTTAACACTGTCAGCCTGCTATTACACTCCAACAGACACCACGAGAATTCTAGTCAGAAATACTTCAGAGCAAAATTACACTATTTCAAAATTACTATAATTTAACATAAGCAGATTTTTACTGGCAACACACTGAAGAAACATAGTGTCAGACAAAAATGACTGGAATTTTATTGCTCCCTGCAATATTAACTCAAGGTCCTCACTGGGGAAATCAAGAAACTCTGAAGGAGAAAGCAAAACAGAGTCCAGTTCCCCATCTCCAGAACATATAAAATATAAAGTTGGTATTGAAAGCTTATACTAGGAGAATGCTAACTCCCATACCAAGATAAAATTAATTTTGTGTAAATTAATCCTATAGGACAATATTTACTCTTGGAGCCCAATAAATGCCAGGAGTGCTTTAAACATACATACATAGAGAGAGAGAGACAAAGAGAAATCTACTGCATCTGTTCAGAAAAAGGATTTTACTCCAGCATCCTTGAAACAGTAGTGAATCATTAAAAATGACATTTATAATATAATCAAAAAGATTATATTATAATGCTCAATTCTGAGGTGATGCTGGAGACAAAATTGATTCAAAATTGATTCAAATAGGGTGATGCTGGAGACAAAATTGATTCAAAAACATTTACACATCTGATAATACTACTTCCCCATTAATTTTAATAGCATATACAGGTACTACATATTTGATGCCTTACTAAGGTAAACATTTATTTTTTTTAGAAACTGGAAACACTAAACGGATGATTGACATTATGATTACATGGAGTAAGTGATAATTCTGTTTTGTTTTTACAGTTCTACAAGTATTTCAAACAGCCATTGGGTTCTGCAGTAGACTGTAGTCTACTAGCTTGGGAGGGTTAGGAATGCATGCCCATCAACAATCTGTGCCTGCTCTCTGTCTCTCTCTCTCTCATTCAATCTAAAAGAAATTGGCAATTAATAATTTTAGGGCATCCAAGCAGATACAAAAAGCAAAAATCTATTTGTCTATCTGCCTGCCTGTCTGTCTATCTATCTACTGTACTGTATCTATCTACTGTATATATCTATCCATCTACTGTATCCATCTATCCATCCATCTATCTACCTATCTACCTGTCTATTTTACCCCACCTTTCTCCTTAAAAGGATCCATATAAACTGATTCAATGTTAAGTATCTACTGTATCCATCTATCCATCCATCTACCTACCTACCTACCTGTCTATTTTACCCCACCTTTCACCTTAAAAGGATCCATATAAAATGATTCAATGTTAAGTAAAAAAAAAAAAAGGTGTTACTCTGGAGAAAGATGTATTAATTAGCACATGATAGATTTTGTCACATGAAAGCAATATCTTTAATCCATCCCAACAAAAATTTAGCACTTGATAGCATTTAAACAAATGTCAAGGTTCTTATACAGGAGTAGTTGAGCAAATTATAATGAAGAACTTAACATTCACTTTCATATTTTGGTAAAAAAAGGGGGGGCATTAACACCTGGTTGTTTTGAAGTCTCTCAAAGCTGTGGAAATATATTCAGACAGGTGTTTTTCCATAAGTGCTACTCTAATCCAAGCTCTTCCCTGAAACAGAGGAAGCCACGAATGAGGTATTATTAGACTGAACAACGGAACAGTTTTTGAACAAACAAATAAAAATTACTTGACTAAAATACAGTGATGGAGTTATATTCCTGATGGAATGATACATTTCATACTTTGTACCCATTCATTTGCAGTCAGATCTGCTTCCTTCCCAAATGAACTCCGGACTATCCAAAACTGAGTAAGACACAAGCCTGTAAGTTCTAGGATCAAGAGGCTAAAAATGGGGGCAACTCTCACATTTACAATATTCTGGTCTTTCTTTCTTTTAAGCAATTACAGTACTTTGGCAACCTTATTTAATAAGTGGCAAGGTACAGTCAAAGCACATTGGGGTGATGGCTTGGCTTCTACAATACTGACTCTTTCAAACAGCAGAACACTCCTCACGTGTTTCTAAACACTCCTCAATTTGTTCATAACCACATCTTGCATCCCACATGTGCTTCCATGTCCATTTGCCTATATATTCTTCAACCCACTCAGAGACAACTCTATATACTTTTTCCTCTTTGCACAGAGACCGCAAAATGCAGCTGTATCTGAAGTCAAGGGAGTGGATGAGAGAGAGATGTTGTTTTGGAGACGTTGCCCTCTTATTCAAGAAGGTTTGGGGTGACTTGAGGCCTGCCTTGGGACTTCCCTTGAAAGAGCTAGAAAAATGGAATGGTGGGTATAAAAATGGAAAGAGATTTTGCTTAATTTAGCCTCTCTCTTTCAGGAGAACGCTATGCTCATCTACTGCTTTGCTATCTGATTTGTACTCTGCATATGTTCTGGAATCATACTGAAGGTCTGCTTGAATGTGAATATTAGCTTTCTTGTTTACTATGGGATTTGTTCTGGAATTGCCTTTGCCTCAATATCTTTTGAATGTTTACTTGAGCCACAACTTTTTTGACTGCTTCGGAATTTCTGAAACTATCTTTTGAACTGTTTAGAACTTAATTATCTTTGACCTTTTTCTTGCAACAACTTCAGTAAAATATTTTTAAAACAGTTTGGCTATTTTGGGCAAGGGGGGTTGATTAGTACTAAAAAAAGCACTTGCCTTGACCATCTACTGGATTCCTTATTTTTGTTGGTATTTTGGTATTCCTACCTGGCAAGGATGGCATAAAGGTTGTAACACTCAACCTTGTGAATTGTTATCTTTGACCTTTTTCTTGCAACAACTTCAGTAAAATATTTTTAAAACAGTTTGGCTATTTTGGGCAAGGGGGGTTGATTAGTACTAAAAAAAGCACTTGCCTTGACCATCTACTGGATTCCTTATTTTTGTTGGTATTTTGGTATTCCTACCTGGCAAGGATGGCATAAAGGTTGTAACACTCAACCTTGTGAATTGTCTGGATCACGCCTTTGCCTCAATATCTTTTGAATGTTTACTTGAGCCACAACTTTTTTGACTGCTTCGGAATTTCTGAAACTATCTTTTGAACTGTTTAGAACTTAATTATCTTTGACCTTTTTCTTGCAACAACTTCAGTAAAATATTTTTAAAACAGTTTGGCTATTTTGGGCAAGGGGGGTTGATTAGTACTAAAAAAAGCACTTGCCTTGACCATCTACTGGATTCCTTATTTTTGTTGGTATTTTGGTATTCCTACCTGGCAAGGATGGCATAAAGGTTGTAACACTCAACCTTGTTAACTCCCTGGATCACTGAGCAGTCAGAATGACTCAATGCATTGGGAGAGGGTACCCAGCAGGAAGGGTTTCCCCAGCCTTCAGCACATTTACCCCTCCTGCATTCTATCCACATCAGGAAAAGTCTGGGCAGTGTGGCAGAATGGTTAGTGTGGGCTTCTCTGACCAGCCATAACCTTGACTTGCACAAACATAGGATGGGTAACAGATGAGTTGGAAATAATACATTTGAAAATGATTTAAGGTTCTTAGAAGACCACAAACTAACATGAGTCAGTGATGCTGCCAAAACAACACCACCTAAAACAAAACAGAAGCGACATCAGAGGGTGCATCAACTAAAGCACTGGTTCTTAACCTTGGGTTACTCAGGAGTTTTGGACTGCAACTCCCAGAAGCCTTCACCACCAGCTGTCCTGACTGGGGTTTCTGGGAGTTGCAGTTCAAAAGCATCCGAGTAACAAAGGTTAAGAACCACTGAACTAAAGCATATTGACCAGATCAGAGGGAGTAATGCAGTCATTTTATTCTACTTTGGTCAGACCTCAGTTGGAATACTATGTCCGGTTCTGGACACCACAGCTTAAGAAAGATATTGACAAGATAAAAACATGTCTAGACAAGAGTGAGCAAGAGGGTAAAAGGTCTGATAATGAAGCCCTATGAAAAATGACCAAGGGAGCTGTGTATGTTTAGCCTAGGAGAGAGAAGCTGGGATATGATAGCCATCTTTGAGTATTTGAAACTCTGTCATGTAGAAGATGGACCAAATTTGTTTTATCTTTTGTGGCTTCAGAGACAGGACCTGAAGCAATGGATTCCAATAGAAAGCAGATTTCCACTAAAATGTGAAGCAATATTTAGACAATAAGAGTTGTATAGTAATGGACAGATTTACCTCAGAAAGTAGTTTATTCTCCTCTTTGAAGGTTTTTAAACAGAGATTGGATTGCCATATGTCAAGGATCTTTTAGGTATAGATTTAATGCTTTTTCTGGGGGTTAATTCCAGCTCTATAGTTCTATGAGTCTACAAAATCACAGTACCTTCCCAAAAATTAACATAATCTGGATACATTTACTAAAATACCATGGTTCCAAAGTTTGTGAGCAATAAACTCCTGGCTTAGCTAGTTTAAGTAATATAAAATAAAGTATTTTCTACTAAAGCGACACTATATTCTAGATTTCACATTGCATATCCTTCCCAATCCAGAGTTTTGTATAACTAAAACTCCACTTAAATATCTACAGACGAGAAGGTGATTCAAAGTTTTAGCTTTACACAGTATTCCTTAACTTCTAGAACAGAGGTCTTCAAACTTTTCACACAGAGGGCCACATAATATATTTGTGATATTTTCAAGGGCTGAAGGAACACACGCATACACACATACACCCGCCCTCACACATGCACTACCACCCACCCACCCACCTGCAAGCATGCACACCCATACACACAAACCTACTCCTGCCCACCCCCACACACGCACACACTTCCACCCACCCGCCTGCACTCCCACTCACCCTCATGCCTGCATGCATGCACACCTGCACACACGGACTCCTGCCCACCCACACCCCACACACTCCCACCCACATGCACGAATGGGCCAGATAAAAAGGCCAGGTGGGCCGGATGTGGCCCGCAGGCCGTGCTTTGAAGACCCCTGTTCTAGAACTTTAGTAAGTATTGCCTGCAAGACAATAGTGTTTTGACAGTGGCCTGCATATTTGCTCTCTTTGAAACGGTAGTATAATCTATGATGTTCTTCGACACACACATTTTTCTACTCTTCATCACCAAGATAGATAATTACAGAAAGCTTTTGCATCTATCAGTATAAAATACTCAACAACAACAAATAAGGTACTGGATGGCCTGCAATTCAGAATGTGATTTGTAAATACTAATAATTAAATCTCACCTTAGCTCTTGAAGAACTGACATTTTCCATATTTTCAATGCTACAGATACAATTATGTGAAACCTTGCGACAGGCTACTTTAATATAATCCCAGAAGCTACGAGGGCTTTCATAGCCAAACCAAGTGACTTGACCTGAACAGAGACATCACAAAGAGGGAAACTATTAAAATTATACGAATATACAGTAATACAAAACACATTTTTACCATGAGTATCATCTTTAACATACTATAAGAGGAGCCTTGTGGCAGATTGCTTAAACTGTAGCAGGACTTCACTCATGACCTGAGTTTGCTCCTAATGGGCTCAGGTAGCCAGCTCAAGGTTGACTCAGCCTTCCATCCTTCTGAGGTCAATAAATTGAGCACCCAGCTCACCGGGGGAGGGGGCAACAAGGGTGATTATTATTATCTTGCAGAAAGCAAATGTGTGCTGGTATATTTCCTTTCATGTCAGAAGCCAAAATAATATAGGGATCAAAATTAGTATAGGGATGGGTTGTACAAAAATAAGATAAAATAATTTTAGAAGATGTAACTAAAGAAAATGGTTAGGAAGAACACACACACACACACACACACACAATTCTCAGCTATCTGAAGTACTTTTTTTAGTGGAAAGGTGGGATAAATATGTAACTAAGAAAATACACATAAATAAATAAATATGATGGCATGGACTATGAAATTAAAGGTTGGATTAAATCTTAAAAGGATTGTGTATTTTCCATTATTAGTACACAGAATTCCCCCCAAAGGTGCAATCAGCTATCAGACTTGCAAATAAATCCAAGCTCTACTTCCCAATTATCAGTCACAAAACCAAGTTAATTTTCACAGTAGTAGAAAAACTCATGCTAAGATAATGAGGAGTCTTTCACCATTTGTGTGTGCACTGTGAGGTAAGTGCATGATCTAGTCTGACCCACAGGTAAACCCAACAGGTTTGCTTCCCCTGCCTCCTAAGAACTGAGAAGGAATTCCTGCCTGGAGAGAAATGGTAGGTAACTACCTGCCAGTTGACAGAAAGGAAAATTAAATTTTTAGCACCAGTTCTCTTGCCACTATGTGGGAGGTAACTTCCCAGCTACATTTGAACTATTCTGAGATTTCTTTAAAGAAATCCTGTGAATCTTCACTAAGCTGACTGAGAGCTTAATTAATTTAAATTGGAGATTTAAAGTCTTTAACATTCATAGCAGATATAATAACTTAACCTTCATTTATTGTTATAATGATCATATTCCCTAGACAACAAGGACTATTTATCATCATAACACATACAAAGCAGGATTTAAATACCTTTAAGTCGATGGCTTAGAATTTGTTCCAAAATAGCTGCAAAATTGTTGAACTCAGGAGAAGAATCATCAATAGTTTCAAAACAGGATCGATCAATCAGTGTCTTGATAGAGAACCTAGAATGTAAAAAGAATGAGCATGGCTTATTTTTAAATATATTACATGTTAGAATGCATAATATATTGAAATAAACACACATTTCTCTAGTTGCATTTACAATAATATTAATAGTGCACCATCAAGTCAATTCTGAATTAGGGTGACTTTTTTCAGGGATTTCTAGGCGAAGAGTACTCAGAAATGGCTTACCATTCCCTGCTTCTGGGTCTATTTTGAGACTGTGCAGCTTGCCACACAGACTGGCTGGCTCTTCTGGGATGCACAATGGGGAATTGAACTCCTTTGCAATTTTTAAAGATAAACTGATACCATGGTTGTTGTGGGTTTTTCGGGCTCTTTGGCTGTGTTCTGAAGGTTGTTTTTCCTAACGTTTCACCAGTCTCTGTGGCTGGCAGAACTTTGTCTGTGCTCTGGGTTCTGATTCCTGTCCTCTGAAGATGCCGGCCACAGCGACTGGCGAAACGTTAGGAAGAACAACCTTCAGAACACAGCCAAAGAGCCCGAAAAACCCACAGCAACCATTAGATCCCGGTTGTGAAAGCCTTCGAGAATACAAATTGATAATAGTTCAGCTTCTGAATGCAGGCTCTGATTCTTATTTTCTACATTATTTATCAAAGTAAACTATGCAAGTATTTGTTATTCATAGTTTAAAAAAATCATTTTATATAAAGATGCTTGTATTAATATAACTAACACTATCTAGGTCACCCCCCTCTCCAAACCATTCACTTGTAGGCTGAGACTACATAATACAAATAGTAACATTTCTGGTATGATTTAAGCTTTATTTTTTCTGAAAGAAAGTTTATATAGCATCTGGAAATGCCATCTGTCCTAACTTTAAGTTTCCCCATGCTGTCTCACTTTTCTTCTTTTATCTTAACATAATTAAGAAACTTTTGTTACATTTGGCTAATACATAAAACTAAGCTTAAAAAATGTCTGTATCTATAATCTCTAAAATGTTTCACATCAAAAATTCCTGGTCCTGCAGCACTGTAGCATACCAGTCTTTCTCCCCTGCAACATTCAGCACTCTCCTCAAAAAAAGTATCCATAGGTTTTCCTTTATAAGAATATTCAGTCATGTCTCCTTCCCTGACAATATTGTTTTCAATGCTATCAGAAGCCTGAAAACAAAAAAATTGGAAAAATATAGCAGATAGCCATATTTTCCAGTACAAATCAGGTGAACAAAAAACCAACATTCTTAGTTGTAAATAAACTGCTGAGATCAGTATTATAGGTTTACAGAGTTGCCCTGCAGCTATTTTATATATTTACCAAATGTCCAAATTCAGAATTGCCCACTGCTCGAAAAGTGTACAGTGGTGTGAGACTTAGCAGAAGTCACTCATAAATGACCCTAAGCCACTCTTGACTGATAGTGTGATCACTTAGAGCTGCTACCCACTGGGTGTGACAGTGTAGTGGGCAGGAACAGCAGAGCCAGAATCAAGAGGTGAAGCCAACTAATTTGCTATTCAGCCTCTTCTGTGGGGAGGCTGAAGCACACTTAATTAATGCATTACAATTAACTGAACAACAGTTTCTCAACTTGGTTCACAAATAGTAGGCTTAATTACACTTCATCCTGTGATGAAGGAAATGGTGTGCGGTGTCTACCAATACTTACAAGAAGGGGGGAAGAATTTACACAAAGTAATATTTATCATACTGCAAGGTTAAATGCTATGCAAACTCACATGACAGATATTAATCCCTCTTTGCTCCATAAAACCTGAGCAAAAAGTATAAAATAAATATAAATAACCCTAAAAGGGAACACCTCAAAAAATCTGAAAATGCAAAGAGAATGGCCAGAGAATGGGATGCTTACTTTCAAAATCACAGAAAGTCATATTTGGGGATGGCTATTGCCTTGGGGGAAAAAGAGCACATTTGGTTTGCCTGAACATCAAACAGTAGCAAATCTCTGCATTACTGTAGCAATTTATCCATTACCAAAATGTAAACAAATCCAGATGGAGCATTGTTCCCCTATATGTCCATGACTATGTGCTGACATTATCAATATTTTCCTGCAACTCACAAAGATGCAAGCCTCAAATTAGCAAGCTAATTGTACGTTGATGATCTCAGTAGTTTTTCCACTACCTAGGGAATCCAACACTGAGTACGAAACAGTTACAAATAGTGTCACAAACACTGACTGTCTTGGTTTTTAAACCACTTTCATGAGGTCTTGCTGATGCTGTTTGTACTTGGCTGGACTTCAGGTGCCAAAAGCTTCTTGTGTGGGAATGTTAGCACTAATTCATAAATAAAACTATTCAGCACAAAATATTGTTTCTAAAGGATATCAAAGCTTTTTCTCAGCAAAAATGTTGATGTGAAAAACAGCAGATTTCCAAAAGAGTAGTAAAGTGAACCTCTGCTGAAAAGGGCTCAGATCGGAAGCTTGCAATGTTGGCACTAATCTACTGAAACAAAAACATAAAATGAAATCCAGCACAGAGAATCATTTTTCAAAGGGTTTCTTCCAGCTTTTTGAAATATTTTTATCCATTCCTTTTTTTAAAAAAAGCTGTTTCCTTAAAAAGAGAGAAAATAGAAAAAAGGGGGTGGGAGAAAGAAAGAGAAAAGAGAAACAAAAATGGATACATTTTTATGAATGAGAGTAGACAGATATCCTGGTAAGATCTGTGTTCATTGGGCGCCCAGCAGTGTCACCAGGCACAAAGAGGGGAGGGGAGGAACAAATGTTGCCTTTCAAGGGTCTGAAGTCAACTTGCAAGCAGAAGAGCACACTGCTCCCAAACCTTGAATTCTCCAAGAGTATTAGACACTAATACCACAAACAACTTATTTATGCAGTCATTTTTATCAGATAATAACAAATATTGACATAGAAAAGGGAAAAAGCAGCCCCTGAACAAGGGGAAACTGAAGTGTATACACTGTAAGATCATGGCTGCAGAGCGACAGAGTAAACAGACGACCCGAAGTGTATCTGTGACTGGTTTCATAATGCAGCAGTACACCACACAGAAAAGGGAAGCTTTTTAACCAATTAACTGTTCTGCTTAAACATTCTGGCATTACTCATCACCCAAAATCCACCTCTTTATATACTCCTCCCCATCACAATCACCTCCACTCATTGCCTACTAAGAAGCAGCTGTAGAAAAGAATAATATGCAAATTCAGTATAAAAGAAAAATGTGGAATACTTTGGTGTAAACATTGACAACAAACTGTAAATATATTCCAAACATAGCATGTTTATATGTGATCATTATCATCACAATTATATCATCACAGCAACACAGAGTAACATGACACACAGCAGCTACAAAAATGAATAATCACAATAACATTCTCAGAACAACACAGAACACCATGAATCACTGCAGCAACAAAAAGGGACACTATCTGCAAAGTGGAAAGTATGAAAGAGATAATAAAAAGGCTTAGGGACCTAATTCAGCAGGAACAAACCAACTGAGCAAAACTGCCTAAGATTCTTAAGCAAACCAAAAGCAAAACAAAACAAAATGTGGGAAAAGTTAACAAGGACTCTGACATAAGTAACAAAAATCACTAAAAGACTAGTACACAGAAACATATGTTCTGATGTTTGGTCTGGATTCAGATGGGTTTATTGCCCACTGCTAGCACATATATAAGCACATGCAATTCATAACATGATGTCTCATGTATACACATAACACACAGTCATAATTAAATAGAGGGAAAGGAGACTCAAAGGTTCCCAATCTGTGAGCTGCAGCTAAAGATGCTAAAAAAGAGGGGGGGACAGGTGTCTCTAATGGTCAGGAAAGGAAAGGACTGGAGATAACAAATTTAAATATGTATTCACCAGCTTCCTCTGACTAAGAGGTCTTCAGGATACTTTCCCACTGAAATTTTCAGTCTCCCATGGCTGGGAAGATAATTTTCCACATACCATGCAGGGAGTGCAGAAGAACCTAAATTTGCTGCCTGGTATGCCATAGATATGTGAGAACCATGGAACATGCATGCTCCTTTTGCTAATGCACAAAATAACTCAAGAACACAGGAAAAAGTGGATAAAAGTGAACATGTTGCAATAGGTGTGAAGTACTAGTTCAAAGAGAATTTGTTAGTCTACACTGTGATTAATGCAGCAGGGCAGAGCTTTCTTTACTGTATTTGACACCCCCCACTTAAATGTGTAATATTGCCACTGACTGAGATCCCGTTGTGTTTATAAGGAGGCATCAGCACAATATTTCCAAATCCAGTTCATCCCAGGAGCACCACCTTGGACTCTTTGGAAGGGGAAAGGCAGAATAAAAATACTTTAGATAAATAAATAAAATAAATTACTGTCAGGACCACTATGCCTGTTGAAAAGGGATCATATTCTTTCCTATGCCTCCATTACCAATCTGCAGTTACCATGTTCAGCACCTTCACCCAGCCCTATGCATACTGACATATAATTCAGACTGGCACAGAAGCTGCTGTCTATGGATCAGGCAATGAATTAGCAAACATATTTCTGTAAACTTGGCCAGTCTCTCAGTCTTTGAACCAAAGACAAATCCAGCTCAAGGAGAATAAAAGGAATATTGTCTACTTCTTCCTGCCCAGAAGCTGCACTGGACAAATGGGTGACATAAGAAGGTGTCTCCTCATCTCACAGTCAGGTGGAAGTATCAGGCATAGTACTCTTCCCTGCAGATCTCCTGGGGTTTTCCTTAAAGGCTGGACAGTGTCTCCTCTTCAATCCTGTCTCCAACTGCAGTGTTCTTGTTTCCCCATAAAAACAAGTGGCAACATACATTCATAAGGGAGAAATTAACTAAACACTTATTACACTGTTTGTTGGGACATCAGGTTTTACTGCATCTCAGTTAGATCACAGCAGATTTATTTCATATTATGGAATTCAACCAGCCCCTACTCGCATATTCATAGCCCCACTCCAAGTCCTGCTAGAGTTTGACAAAAAGCCTACAGCATCACAGAAGGAAAAAAATGTACTGTATATGCTGGAATGTGGCAGAAATAAATAGACTAGCTCTCATTATGATATGTAGCAAAAGAATGAATACTTATGCATTTCTAGACTCCCTGGTAAAAATCTATGACACACTTCGTTGTGAAACCTATGCCAACCAGAGCCAAACATTTTTGCCTTCACTGTAACCCTGAGCCATTCACTTCTTCCCAACAGAATGAATGGCAGCCATTCATTTTTACAGAAGAAACTCAAAGAATCAGTGGTGACAAGCTAATCCCGCCACCATGCTCTCCTCCCACAGTAAAGGGCAGAATAAGCCTTCTCTCATTTATGGCAGCTCATCACGCTACAATTACGCCCACTTTCTTCTGCAGCGACTTCTCTTGGATTTCTCCTTGGTCATGCTAGCACAACAGAATCCAGAATCTGGCACCTGTTTTTCCCAACGTTCCTACTTTCATAGCACTCAACACAGCCCACCATAAAGGTGAGGTAAGGTTCAAATGCAACAAGGCACAGGGTACTTACACTGTTAAGATGGCAACATAGTAAATGGATTAGTATAGTATTCTCCAGTTAGCGTTCATGAAGGCCAAAGGCACCAAAATGGGACAGAATGGGGCTCCTTCGCATTCACATGATAAATTTAACTACAGTACACAGATTTTACTGTCATGCAAGAAATCCCCATCTGTCACAACTTCCAGCAGTTGGCCCTAGCAATTCTCAGATGCTGTAAGGAGGAGGAAGAGCACGAAATCTTCCACTTAAGTGTTGAAGAGGCAGCATAAGGAAAGTGGGATGGATAGAAAAGAGATCCCCTATTCTAGGGACACAAAGTCAACTCAACAGAGATGCATTCTCTTAGTATCTTAAGAGCTCCTGGTGCAATAGCAGCCAAAACTCTGCTCACGAACTGGGGTTCAATCCTAGGCAAGGTTTACCCAAGCTTTCTCGCATAATTAAATTGTAAACCTCCCAGAAAGCGCTTCAATCACCAGAGGGTGATACATAAGTAGCATGTTTTGCTTTAAGACACCCAACCAGTGCTGAATTCCCAACCATGGTCTGGGCTGCAGAAGTTGGGTATTCCCTCCGTGTTAGCCACCGCAATAACACAATGAAAAGGCTGAGAAGCAGCTATTCTGGAGGAAGACTTTAATTCTATAATCATAATCATAATACTTGATAAACTCATTGGGACTTACTTTTAAGTAAACATAAAAGGAGGGGCTGGACTTGATGATCCATAGGATCTCTTCCAGCTCTGCAGATCGAAGACGATGATGATGATGGTGGTGCAGTAGCAACCGAGCGGCATTTGATTATATGCCTTATGTGTATACATGAAGGGAGGGGAGCCAGTGCTGGCTGGGAAAAGCCGGCCCCGGAGCAAACCCACCTGCAGACGGTGATGAGATTCCGCCTCTCGACAGTCGCGTTTCGGGAATGGACGCTTTTCCTCCGTGAGGAGGCGTGGAGTCCCCCGAGGTTGAACGACGCCATCTCTCCGCGGAGGGAAAGGCAGGTGCCCGCGGGGCTCTGGCGGGCCCTTTGTTCCAGGGGAGGAGGAGGAGGAGGAGGAGGAGGAAGGCGGCGTTGCCGCTCCCACAGACGCGTTAGGAAAATATGGCGAGGAAACCCAGCAGCCTCCGGCTTGGCACCCAAACGTGGGCCGCGAAGCGAGGCAT